GGACCAGGCCGAAGAAGCTCGCAAGGCAAAGGAGAACGAATCAATTGCGCAGAAATCCACCCAAGAAATTGATGAGTTGCGGAACGAGCTGGAAAAGATGAAATTAGAGGTGAAAGAGAAAGAAGAAGCCCGCAAGTCAGCTCAATCCGAACTAGAGGACCTCCTGATTGTGTTCGGAGACCTAGAGGCTAAGAGGAACGAAGACAAAGTGAGTCACTCAATAGCAAAACCCAAGGGCTGTCATTAACTTATACACTCTCTAGAAACGCCTGAAAGACCTCGGACAGGAAGTATCCGAAGCCGAGGAAGATGACGATGACGATGATGAGGAAGATGAAGACGATGAGGAATGAGTGAAATTAAAAAACATGACATGACATGTTTCCCAGGGTTATATATGCCGTAATCTCTGCTTTATGCCCGTTGAATTAGAGATGGTCAAGGCCAATCATTGTTGAGAATCGTTGTAGAAGACATGATGTACTCCGTACTGTATATACATAGAAGGGAAATTCAATTGCCTGAGGTACCTACTACTATCCATTTTTCTTGCCTTAGGAGTCAGCGGCAGGGCGCACTACGATTTGCGTGAGCAGGGGCTTGGCAAAAAATCGGCTCCGCGGGGTTGACTCATTCATTTCTGCATCTTTTTATTTTACCCCGCGGCCATCCCTCCTTTGGAAACTCGCACCCACACGTCAAGACAGAACGTTCGCCCGTCATGTCGATTGACTTCCCTAAGGAGGAGGAACTTACCCTCAAGCGATGGAGGGAGATTGACGCCTTCCAGAGGCAAGTCGAGCTCTCTCGTGGCCGCAAACCGTACACTTTCTACGATGGTCCTCCGTTCGCGACTGGTCTTCCTCACTATGGTCATCTGCTGGCTTCCACTATTAAAGATATCATTCCCAGATATTGGTCTATGAAGGGCCACTATGTCGAGAGACGATTCGGCTGGGATACACACGGTGTCCCCATCGAATATGAAATCGACAAAAAGTTGGGCATGTCGGGCTTGGAGGCTGTCGAGAAGCTTGGAATCGAAAAGTACAACGAGGAGTGCCGAGCCATTGTTATGAGATACGCATCTGAATGGAGAGAAACTATTGAGAGACTTGGCCGGTGGATCGATTTTGACAATGACTACAAGGTAGAATCCCAATCGATGTCCTATTCTTCCTTTTACAAAGAGTGGGAAAACGCCCTCTCGTGAGCCATTTATATGTATTCAGTATGGGATTGCTGACGATATATCTACACTGATTGATACAGACCATGAACACATCCTTCATGGAGTCTGTATGGTGGGTTTTCAAGCAACTCTTCGATAAGGACCTAGTCTACAGAGGCTACCGCGTTATGCCTTACTCTACTGCCCTCAACACCCCCCTCAGTAACTTCGAAGCACAACAAAACTACAAGGATGTTCAAGATCCTGCAGTTGTGGTATCATTCCCTCTGGTGGAAGATCCTGAGACCTGCCTGCTTGCGTGGACTACCACACCTTGGACGCTGCCGATGAACACTGGCCTTGCAGTTAACCCTACCTTTGAATACATTAAGATTCTTGATGAAGCCTCGGGCAAACATTACATTCTGCTTGAATCCTTGCTTCGCACACTCTATAAAGATCCAAAGAAGGCCAAGTTCAAGATTGTCGATCGATTCAAGGGTTCCGCCATGAAAGACTGGAAGTACACGCCTTTGTTTGATTACTTCTACGAAGAATTCAAAGACCACGGCTTCCGCGTATTAAATGCCGAATATGTTACGGCCGAGGATGGTACTGGTGTTGTTCACCAGGCCCCTGCCTTTGGTGAGGACGATTACAGGGTTGGTATGGAAGGCGGCGTTATTAGCGAAACGCGCTTGCCACCTAACCCTGTCGATGAGAAGGGATGCTATACGGATGAGATTCGCGACTTCGTGGGTCAACATGTCAAAGCTGCCGACAAGCCTATCATCAAGCATCTTAAGGGAACTGGCCGCTTGATTGTTGATAGCCAGATCACTCACAGTTACCCATTCTGCTGGCGCTCCGACACTCCTCTGATCTATAGAGCTGTACCTGCCTGGTTTGTCAAGATCCCCTGTATCATTCCTCAGATGCTCGAGGGCATTGAGAGTTCCCATTGGGTGCCCTCATTTGTGAAGGAGAAGCGGTTCGCCAGCTGGATTCAGAATGCCCGAGACTGGAACATCTCCAGAAACCGATTCTGGGGTACTCCCTTGCCCTTGTGGGTCAGCGACGACTTCAAAGAAATTGTTGCTGTGGGCAGCGCCGAAGAGCTCAAGGAACTCAGTGGGTACCAGGGCGAACTTACAGATCTCCACCGCGATAAAGTGGATAAGATCACTATCCCCAGCAAGCAAGGCAAGGGTGTTCTCCGCCGTGTGAGCGAGGTGTTTGACTGCTGGTTCGAATCGGGCAGCATGCCGTACGCTTCTCAGCATTACCCATTTGAGAACAAGGAACAGTTCGAGAATAGCTTCCCGGGTGACTTCATTGCGGAAGGATTGGACCAGACTCGTGGCTGGTTCTATACCATGACTGTTTTGGGTACCCATCTGTTTGGCAAATTGCCCTACAAGAACTGTGTCGTTAACGGTATCGTCCTTGCTGAAGATGGAAAGAAGATGTCTAAGCGATTGAAGAATTACCCAGATCCTTCTCTTATCATGAACAGATACGGTTCTGACGCTCTCCGTCTGTATCTGATCAACTCCCCCGTTGTCCGCGCAGAGCCACTCAGATTCAAGGAATCCGGTGTCAAGGAGATTGTTGCTAAGGTGCTTCTTCCTCTTTGGAACAGTTACAAATTCTTTGAGGGGCAGGTGGCTCTTCTTAAGAAGTCCCAGGGTGTCGACTACGTCTTTGATCCTGAGGCAGAAGCCACCAACACCAATGTCATGGACCGCTGGATTCTGGCAAGCTGTCAGAGTCTTCTCAAGTTTGTGAATGAGGAGATGGCAGGATACCGTTTGTACACAGTTGTTCCCCGGCTACTCGGACTGATTGATAACACCACCAACTGGTACATCAGATTCAACCGGAGGCGTTTGAAGGGCGAAAACGGTGTTGATGACACTTTGCACGCCCTTAACACCCTCTTTGAGGTTCTCTATACATTGGTCAGAGGACTTGCTCCTTTCACACCATTCCTTACCGATACCATCTATCAGAAGCTCCTTCCCCACATCCCAGAGTCTCTCCGTAGTGAAGATAGCCGCAGCGTTCACTTCCTTGCATTCCCTGAAGTGCGTGAGGAACTGTTTGATGAAGTTGTTGAAAGGCGTGTGGCCCGGATGCAAAAGGTTATCGAAATGGCCCGTGTATCCCGTGAGCGCCGCACCCTTGGATTGAAGACTCCTCTAAAGACGCTTGTTGTTATTCATCAAGACCCGCAATTCCTAGAGGACGTGAAGTCTTTGCAAAGCTACATTCTCGAGGAACTGAACGTCATCGAGCTCATCCTGTCATCTGACGAGGAGAAGTATAATGTCCAATATAGCGTGACTGCTGATTGGCCGACCCTCGGAAAGAAGCTGAAGAAGGATGCTCAAAAGGTCAAGAAGTCTTTGCCTTCGCTCACGAGTAATGATGTGAAGAAGTTTGTCTCAGACAAGAAAATCCTTGTGGATGGTATTGAGCTCGTTGAAGGCGACCTTATCGTAAGACGGGGTGTTAAGGAAGACGCATCATCAGAGGGCATGGAGCCCAACGCCGATGATGATGTGTTGACCATCTTGGATGCGAACCTGTATCCGGAGCTGGCACACCAAGGACTGGGTCGAGAAATCATTAACCGACTCCAGCGTCTTCGTAAGAAGGCCGGCTTGGTCCCCACTGATGATGTCAAGATGGAATACGCAATTCTCTCGGATCCTGAGAATGTCGGTCTGGGTGAAGCCTTCCAGACACAAGCTCAGGCCATTGAGAAGGTTGTGCGCAGACCGCTCGAACAGTTTGAGCTTGTTGATGGCAAGGTCCCCAGTGGAGATGAGGAACGCATGATCATGGAGGAGGAACAAGAAGTCCAGAAAGCGACTTTCATGCTGAGATTGCTCAAACTCTAGACATTCGAGTAACTTAGATGTGTCATGCCGATGCTTAGATCATGTTCGTCGATAGCTTTTCTATTTCTTAGTCTTTCGCGAGAGTGTTAAACGATAGCATTTAGTCTATAAAATTATATTTTATACATTGGTTTGTCTTAGAGTTGGTATACCGTATTTCATCACAAGAAAGATAATGAGAATAAAGAAATCAAATAAAAAAAAAAAAGGAAGAGGCCTGCGCTTAATGCATGCACCTGAAATTTAACATCGTAACTTGTTCTCACCGTCTTCCTTCAAACCTTCTTCGACGCTGCCTATCAGCAACTCCAGATTAGTATTCGACTCGCTGAAATTCGATCTTATTCCTTACCAGGAAGCAGTCTTTGAGCTTCATGAACTCTTTAGCACACATGTCCTTATGGACGGAATTGTAGTCAGCAACAATGCATTTGCCATATGCCGCTGCCTGAGAAACGGTCAGCTAGTGCCATGGCACGACCATAGGACAGGTGTATACCTCTGCAGAGCATTTTGACGTGGCTTTTGCAAATTTCTCAATAGGTCTTGTTCTTGGTGATGACATTTTCTCTTTTGATCTTGCTACTATTTTTCCCTGCCTGGTCTTGAAGTGATTTGATTTGATGCAATGCAGAGGGAGCAGGATATTACATAACCGCATCACATGATCTCTACATTCCATGTTGGGTTCCGCGCGACAAGCAAAACAATTATCGGAGGTTGGGGACAAAGCCAGCCGTCCAATTGCTTCAGCGAACGGCTTCGTTTTTGATCCTCCTTTACCATCTCTTATTTTTGACTGGCAGGCTTGAGGCCCGTGGGTTCTCGTTTCACGTCCAACCCTGTGCCTCGCAATGGTTGATTTCGTTTTCCGCCTCCATGACCTTTCTGCGAAAAACGCGCCCTAGGTCGCGGACAGTTCGATGCCTCCCGTACCCCCTCAGCGTAGACATTTGTCCTATGAAGACCCATCGCTTTCAGACGAAGGTGCGTAACGCGTGATCCCAGGGAACCCTCATTTAAACTTGCATAATAACCCGTTCCCATATGTTAGATGTCGGCCTTCTCTATCAAGTCATCACCCGCGCTGAGCGAGACCCAGAGGTGGAGCGCCTTCCATACAGAGTGTTATTCAAAGCGTACGATGAAGTCATCGCAGAACATGGCGTGGATCCAGATCCAGGCTATGCCTGCTTGCGCTTCTTACTCAAGATGGGAAGCAAGAATATCTTAGGCGATTCCCTCTTTGAGAAATTCGAGAACCTACTTGAACGGATGGGAATAGTCATTGAATTTGGTGAAGACGAAGATGAAGGCAATGACACTTATGCGGACAGTGTGCCTTCGGCAGATGGCCGGCTCAAAGCAAAGGTCGATCGCGACACCGCTTATAGAGAAGGCACTACACAACCGACCCCAAAGAGGCGAGCATCGTTCAATTCCATGTATGATATTGGTGATGACCCTACGCAAAGGAGTTTCGCCAATCGCCCAAGCTCGCGCTCTTCCTTATCCCGTCTGCCAATTGACAAACCCGAATTCCCTAGTACCAGGCCATCACCAAAACGAGCGCTCACTAAGCAGGCTGATTCGACTGACAGAACTCAGCTGATTGCGCAGTTCTTAGATGTTGGACGCCGCCTTATGAACAAGATGGATCTTTTGGATAGGGATACGGATAAACGAAATAATGAAGATCATGTCTCTAATGGAGTACATGCCAGGTCTGCGGTTGATCGAGATCGCTCAAAGAGGATGGCCAAAGCCTCCCGGTCTCGCACACGGCACTCACTAAGCTCAGAAGGCTCTGACGGAGATGCAGAGAGTTCATCCCTATCGGCTGAAGGTGACGACTCTGTAGAAAAGGCCGAAGTTCCACTGGAATTGCTGTATAGACCATCGCTCTCCGATTTGCTACGCGATGCATCAACATTTAACATGTATCGTCAACGCGCCATTAACCGGCGGTTACTTACACAATGGTTGAAGAAAGCCATCCAAACTCGACAAAGCCATCAGCATATGGAAGTTGTCGCCATCAATCGCGACAGAGGCACGCTTCTTCGTCAAGCTTTCGAGACATGGCACTCGATCATTCAAACGCAACGGCGAGCCGCACAAACCGACCGCTTTTTTAAGCATCTAGAGGAGCGCGCTTCGCGGGCCCGCGATCTTTACCTCGTAACCAAAGCTTTTACCCACTGGGCGCAGGTCGCTTCGGAAGAAGTAGCAAGGACTTCTGCAGCGCGAAGACATGTGCTAAGTGTCAAATACTTTAATGCATGGCGCGAAATAACAGCTGTTAACGAGTTGAAGGCCCAGAGATTCGCATTGCGACGACCATTCAATATCTGGAAGAGGAAGGCCCATCATATAAAGGATTCCGAGAAAGAGGTGGCTGTTGCCCACAACAAAAAACTAATACACGGCATGTATTGGAGATGGTTTTGGTCTTTCTGCGAACGGCGTGCTCCCCAATGGTATGACCATTGTCTCAAGCGGCGGTCACTGTTGTACTGGCTGCGGAAGTTTCGAACAAACAGAGAACGCAACCATGAGATAGAAGTCAAGAACAAACATCTAGCTCTTAGTTCAGCGTGGCAAATGTGGTCTCAGAGGTCTAAAGCGATCGTTACCGGTAAACAGGAGGCAGCAGTCAAGCAGCGTCAACACCTTCTGCACAAAACTCTTGGAGAATGGAAGATCCAATTCCATCTTGCTCCTGCCGCTTCTCGTGTATCTGGTATGGTTGATCGACGAATCCTCCAAACGGCATATGTTCAGTGGGTAAAACGGATCCGAATGCTGCAGCACGCGAGAGAAATGAATCGTCTGAGAATCCTACGTAACTCGTGGACAACTTGGAATGACCTGCTCCGCTGTCAGGCCCTTAGTGCGCGGATTGAAGAACGTCTGAAAATCGAAACGATGTATAAATGGATATTGGCGGAGAGATTCTCTCTTATGCAGCGGATTCGAGATCAACGTATCACGCGCGAGGTATTTTCCAGATTTGTAACTAATGTCCGTCGAACCTACACTCGTTTACTTGACCATGCTGAAGTGCACGAAGACCGTCGGAATGAGGAGCTGCTAAAGGCCAAGCTAATCTGCTGGCGCGACCAGTTCGCGCTTCAGCGTCACCGAGAATTCGTTGCCTTTGAATCCTATGCACCACGACTGCTTCAAGAGTCGCTGATAGCCTGGCGATCGAAATCACAACATATGGTCAAACTTGAAGGATGGGCTAGCAATGCACAGTTCTACTTTACGGCTACGAAGACACTAAACAAATGGCATACAGCGACATTAGAGTCCGCTAAGCGGCGCCGCCAGGCAGCTTACGCGAAGACACGAAGAAAGATCAAGATGAACCTTGCTGCAAACGCTCTGGAAAACTGGCGTGCGAGGGCCCATGATGTATTCGACATGGAACAACAGGCCTTGCAATTTAGCCGAAGAAAGTCACTGAGCATTGCGTCTGAACTCCTGCATCGATGGCATGCGCAAACTGCAAAGCGAACTCAGGATAATTACGAAGCTGAAGTCTATCATTCGCGAAGAGTCGCTTACGACCAATTTATACGTCTGGCAGAGGCCTTGCTGGAATGCCACCGTTTAAATCAGCAAGCGGACAGTATGTATCGTGTACATATCTTGGGGCAGGCGAACGTTTGCCTACGCAGACTTAGTCTCCGTATTTTCCAAATCAGAAGCACCAATGAGACAGCGGAGGCTATGAAAGAGAGAAATTTGAGACGGCATTCAAGAAGTATGTTCCGCCACTGGTTGGAGAAATTGAGAATGAACCTTGAGGCCAGGGATTCTCCGAGGCCACTCGTTACCCCTGCACGAAACTTCGACGGCCCAAGTGGGAATCTCGGGGCAAATCGATCTATATTCGACCCTTGGTATCAGACTGAGACGCCTTTCAAACCCAACGACTTTGTGGTGGATACCCAGAATGTCTCGACAACTCCAGTGACCACCCCTAACTACCTGACCTCGCCATCTAAGCGGGCCGTACGGGCAAGGGCACTCGCACAGGTCTCTACGACTCCTGCAACACCGTTATACACGCCGTTCGCCAGTCGGCTTCTGCGTGCAGGAACTACGGCACCGAGATCTGGCTCCAACCCACGAACCCGTAATGGCCGGGGCAGTTCTCTAGCCACGAGCGTTCGGTTCGTAGACGAGGAGCCAGAATCACCTACGGACGCCAGAAGGTCCGCCAATCGACGGATCTAGATTTCAGAAGCCTAGGAAAGCGATATTGGATGTACAGTGTCTTGCTTATTTTGTTCTCCGTTTCTATATTGGCGCTGTTTGGCATTAGGCTGGAGCTGCTTTTCCTTTTTGATACCCCACTTTGCAAGACATGGATGGCGCGTACTTTATTGGAGCTTATTTGAATTGTTGGAAAGCTGGCTCTAGATTCTGACCCTAGTGTTATAGTTGACCAGTTCGAGTATATAGTTCATTGCAGCCTTGAAACGCTGTATAACGCACAGATACATACCTCATTTTGGTTTGTAGTATGTACTATATAAATCAGGTCACAGACGTCACTGGACGTCCACATGGCTCAGTCACACGGCGGCAAGTGGAGCGGTGGGCGGAACACCAACGTAATTTAATTGTAGTCCTCGATTAACTCGACCACTTTAAACTTCCCCGAGCTCCAGCTTACCTTCCGGTATTCCATTTGCGAAAACTCCTCGACATTATTCCCTGCGCCTTTTGATGTTTTCGAGGCTCGTTTCGAACATTCCGTTCTCTGTTCCTAGCAATGGTGTAATTCTATCCTGAGCGCAACGAGCGACACACAACAACTACCCGCCTCTATGCGAGCGGTACTGCCGGGGAGGCCCCGAGCGAAGCTCCAGTCTTTCAGCACCGCGCTGTGGGATGGTCTCCGTGTCGTCGTAAGGGAAAACCGCAATTCAGTCCTCGAATAGAATCATGCGCGAAGGGCAGGCTCTGCTAACACTTGATCCGTTGCGTTTGTTCACTACAGGTTTACATCTCCGGCCATGCGCTGGTTATCCTCGGCGGTCCCCACACCCTCCTGCAAACCATCTACGTCGACGATGCCGAATCCCTAGAAGCTGTGACGATTGATGAAGCCTCTGGCAAAATTGCTGTTTGCGGTGGTCCGGATGTTTTCATTTACCAGCCGTACGGCATCAAGCACGAAACCTTGAAGGTCCGTTACCATGAGGGATGGTTTAAGGGATTAGATATCCACAGCCCAGTTGCGGGTCGTGGAAGCGCAGGACCGAATGCTGATAGTTTGTTGGTATAGTGGTCTCTTGTCCATACATTCCGTTACGAGAACGATGATGAGACGATCTGGACCCTGTCATGGGGCTCCCCCGACGAGCTACTCCTAGGGAATTCTCACCTTACACTGTGGTTTCTGAACGATGTGCCGCGTCCGGTGTGGAAGCAAAAGCTTGCGAACCCTGTCAAATTTGCACGGTTCTCTCCCGACTCAACTTTACTGATTACAACTGGATATTACGACCGCCTAGTCAAAGTATGGCGGCGGCTTTCGTTTGGCGCGGACGATGTTCGGTTCGAGGTGTCATACCTTCCGCATCCTGCAATCGTTACGGGCGTCCACTGGCGTAAGCCGTTTCATAAGGAGCAATCTATCGATAATGTTCTCTACACCCTATGTGCCGACAACAAGATCAGGGTCTGGGCAATGATGGAACATCACTCTCCAACCGTTCTACAACTATGGACACAAATCGACATGGGCGCTTCCGTCCAACCAAGGCATACGGCGGATCAGAGGGATATGTCTCGGCGATATGGCTTCGTCATTAATAGCAGAGACTTCTGTGTGGCTACCGAACGGGCAGTGCAGAGGTCTGCAGGGAACAAGGGAAACCACGCTTTAGAGCATATAATCGAAGTCGCCAACAAAAGCCCCGAAATCTGCGTTGTGATTGATGGCCAAGGCCACATGTCGGCCTGGGCGCTTGAGGATGTCGGCTCTAAAACCAAGTCTGACCTGAATGCCTTCAACATCCTCCATGTAGAAGGCCTAAATATCTCATTTATGCGGGGACTGTCTGCAGATGAAGACTATGCCCAAATATGTGCATTTCAAAGCACACATTTAGGTGATTCGCTTTCTATTCTTGTGCACCACTTCGATGGCCGTATCGAATGGTATGATTCACAAGTCGATACATTATTCGATCCGAGCCCACGCAAAGACCGGATTGCCCTGAAAGCATCTTGGACAGGACACAATGGCCCAGTCAAAAAGATTGTCCGCAATGCGATCGGCGATACTCTTGTTTCACGTACAGATGATAACAAGGCAATGATTTGGAAACAGAAACGAAGGAATAGCGGGTCGATGCTTATCCGGAAAAGCTCCCTATACTCAGATGAACACATTCATCGCACATGTGTGGTAGAGAATGGAGATTTCCTTGTTAACCTCCATCATAATGGAATTTCGGTCTGGGATCTACGCTCTTTTCATGCCAGAAAGATTGCTGCATCGACATTCCAATTATCAAGCAAACCACTTTGTGTTCTCCCGATCCCCACGACGGAAAAGGGAATAGTGTATATAGCAACGATCGGGGCCGATAGGAACGGAATAGCTTGGGAGATCCGGCTCCCAACTACAACAAAGCAAGCGAATGGAGCGCATAGCTCCCAATGCTGCTTACAGAAGTTCTGCAGTTTCAATCTGGGCCTTGAGGAGGATATGTCATACATCTTGCCTGTTGACCCAGCAGGCCCTAAAGCTGAAATGTCTGGGTTCTTCGATATATTCTCTCCCGACATAGCGTTGTCTTATACCCGGACAGGTATTGTCCATACCTGGGCTGCTAAGGTCGACAGAGAAAAGAGTCGGGTCGAATGGCTATTGACTTCAACAGTTGAAACGGGAATAGCAAACCCATCCCTTGCCAGTGGAAGCTCCATCAGAAAAGCAGCTCTTGTGGACGAGGACCGTAGCCACTTGACAATCTGGGATACGAATGGCGCGCAATTGGAGTATGAGGAGCACTTTGGCCAGAAAGATATCATCCGTGACCTGGACTGGACTTCCACACCAGATATGCAATCCGTTCTTGCGGTTGGGTTTCCCCACAAAGTCATCCTGCTATCTCAGCTTCGTTATGACTACCTTGACGCTCGACCTTCCTGGACCCAAGTCAGAGAGATCTGGATTCGGGACCTTACACCTCATCCTATTGGAGATTCGTGTTGGCTTAACAATGGCCACCTTGTGATCGGAGCCGGAAATCAACTTTTCGTGTACGACAACGAAATCGACGCCAACGATCGTTTAGTTTCACAACTTCGTATTCCATCGCGTCGCCAAGGCTTTGTAGACCTATTCGAGGTTGTCAGCCGGCTGAATGGCCCGTTGCCTGTGTTCCACCCCCAATTCTTGGCGCAGTGTATCCTCAGTGGCAAGAGTAATTTGGCGCATTCCATTTTGATAAGGTTGCACCGGAAGCTCAAGTTCTATACCGAAGGTGATGACCTTGACGGCTTCTTGGACATGTCCCTGGAGGATTTCTATTTGGAACACGATGTGAGTTTGTTAAGATACTACTGTACTATTTAGCCGTGCAGCTAACAAGTTTGGAGACCTCACAGAAAGCGTCATCCAAGGAACTACATTCCGCGTACGAAGATCTTTCGCTGGAGGATGAACCATCTGTCATGGATGAAAACACTGCTGTTGCGCTCAATGAAAATTTAGCTAGGGTTGCTTTGCCACAACTTTCCAGCCAAGAGCAATTCCGCCTGGCCGATACTATCGAATGCGTTGCCACTGTCGAAAAGCATCGGCGTTCAATGGATGACAACGCTGCCCGCTATCTGCTGTTTTTCCGGCAGCATATGCTGCGAAGAACACAAGGCGTTGCGAACAAAGATAGAGTCTCCTGGAGAGAGATCGTCTGGGCTTTTCATAGCGGTAGCCAGGATATTCTTTTAGATCTTGTATCGAGACAGTTCGGCGGTAAGATGGTATGGAAGGCAGCCAGGGAGAGCGGCTTGTTCATGTGGTTATCGAATACCACGGCTATTGTAAGTATATTATGACACATGCCCTGCCCCTAGGGCTTTGCGTGCTGACAATTGCTAGCGAGCTCAACTGGAAGTGGTTGCGCGGAATGAGTACACTAAAACCGAGGAGAAGAATCCGATTGACTGTTCATTGTATTACATTGCTCTCGGGAAGAAGAACATTCTCCAGGGTCTCTGGCGCATGGCCCAATGGAATCGTGAGCAAGCTGCGACTCAGCGTTTACTTGCAAATAACTTCCAAGAGCCTCGTTGGAAAACAACTGCTTTGAAAAATGCATACGCCTTGCTTGGGAAGCGCAGATTTGGTGAGATTTGACCATATAGAAGCTCTGCGTCCGTTCAATACACTAACCGCTCTATCAGAGTATGCGGCGGCCTTCTTCCTTCTTGCAGATCACTTGCGCGATGCTGCTATGGTCTGTATCAATCAAGTCGGCGATCTCCAGCTCGCTATTGCAATTGTACGCGCCTACGAAGGGGATGACGGGCCAGTGTTGAAGGAAATTCTGGAAGAGAGGGTCTTACCCGAAGCTGCCTCTGACGGAAACCGATGGATGGCTTCCTGGGCTTTCTGGATGTTGGGCCGTCGTGATATGGCTGTACGCTCGCTCATTGTAAGTCGGTCGATCAACCAGGCACCATTCCCCTAGTTTTCCTCCTGGCCCCTTACGCTGATAATTTTTGTATCTTTAGTCTCCCGTTGAAACACTCATTCCTTCCACACCTGCTTCTCCCGGGAGCCCTGGAATGATCCCACTACATGCCAAATCGTACCTATCGAACGATCCTGCTTTAGTAGTCTTATACAAACAGCTTCGTGAGAAAACATTGCAGACCTTGAAGGGTGCATCTAAAGTCTCTGGGCCAGCAGAATGGGGCTTCGTCATCCGCAACGCGCGTCTCTATGATCGAATGGGTTGTGACCTCCTCGCACTGAACCTGGTGCGCCATTGGGAGTTCTTGGCTGAACCTCCACCTGCCAAGGCAGTGAGGGAAGTATCATTTGGCCTGCAGCAGAATGGTGTTGATTACCGGAAGATGCTTCGACGACGAAGCAGTCTCGTGGTAGCAGACATGCCAATCAAGACCGGCCTGCCACTGTCTTCGAAGTCGCCCGATGCGCCGAAGAAACCACAACCACCCCCGACTATGTTCCACGAGCCTGATCCCAGTTCACTACTCGATAGCTTTGGGTTTTAGTAAAATTCACTTATCTGTGCTTTTCAGCAATCGGGCGTTGTCGGTAAATCTTGTGTTTCGTTTTTGTTATTAGCCAACTTTTTCGTGTCGATTTGGTGCTACATGTATTTTCTCAGAGGAATGTATTGTATACTATGAATGCCAATGCTCAATGGTTCTTGGGGGTTTCTAAGCGAATGCAATTGTACCATATCAATCGTGATCATTATTCAACATCGTCAACCAACAGCGAAACAGCGAACACGCTACAAAATCCCGGATATCAAACACATGCATATCAAAAGGGAGCTTCCCAACAAATGAGATGATCAAGTCTCTTGAAAAGAAATAGAGAGAGTAACACAACGAACTATTATCAGGACGACATAAGTCGCGCCCGACGATTTTCCAATATCTTCTTCCAAACACTGCTGTGGAACACACCAGTTCCACCGTAGGAACCGGTGCTATTGTGATTCCCAGTATTGTTATGGGCTCCAGTACTATTAGCACTCTCCGTATCATTTGCAAGTCTGCCATGGTACCAAGAAGCTATGCCATGATGAACCGGCTTCATCTGCTCACACTCTAACTTAACCCAAACCTGAGTGAACGTGGCAAAGTTCCGCTCTTCACACTCACTGAGTGCCTCGCCATGTCCGATCTTCTTCTGTATAAGTGGTGGCTCAGTACAGCCCGGCAACTCGTGCACGGCAATGGTACACTGGTCTAGGCTATCCTGCCAGAAGAGCTCTGCGTCAATCGAGACGTGGTCTACCTCCATGGTGTATCGAAGAGGAACAGGAACTTCCTGGCATTTCCCGGCGACCACGTCGACGGCTGTTGTAAATTCTTCATGCAACTTGAGAATGGGATCATCTGGGTAAGAGGAGTGGTCGTCCGCTGGGCACTGGGGAGAGAAGTTGGCCCATACTCGGGCGGCGCTGAGAGCTAAAGTTACCGGCGAGTGGGCGAGCGTTAGAAGGGGAAGGATCTATATTTTGTTAACGTCTTTGAGCCCAATATATGCTTTGCTTAGAAGATATAGAGTGAAAGTCGTTGCTCTCACTTACATTTGTCCAATGCATATTGAAGAAGTACTTCGTAGTCAAATTGTATATACAACGACAGCAGGATATAAGACAACGCTGACAAAGAAAAAGAGTCAGATCTGAATCTGCATTTCAACTCCTGGCCTGCCTGGCCGTTATATATATATATATCACATTCTCATGACTACGGGCCCATTTCTCCGAAATACTCCCACAGGGCAGGAAGATCGACATCTACTTCCGGGGGTCGTGTCTCCCAATCGCGGGGTGAAAGTACGTCCCATACCTGGTACGTGAGGAATTATACTCCGCCTACTAGAGATATGTGAACCACTAAACCTTTCATCGTCATGGGAAAAAGCATCCGCTGCTCTGCATTCCTGTCGTTGGCTCCCAGCAATAGAAACATGCAAACATTCCAGTCGCTTCATTCCACACTAACGGCGCCTCATGTCGGGTTTGCAACTTGGCATGACACGCATGTGCTTGTTTCGTGGATTTCTTAGTATGTATGGCGTCGTGGATCGGGGACGTTTAAGAAATGTGGCGTACTGGCTTGGTACCACCCATAAAGCTTGATTGGAAAGCAAATCTTGTTGTTTCCCTACATACAGAAGTGAAGGAAAAAGAATATTAGGTATTAAGAAATAAAAGCCGTTTGCGAAAGTGATATAATGATACATCGTCCATGATCATCCACACACCGATGAAGAGTATCCAGTACTTTTCCTCAACACACACACACACACACAGCCGCTTAGAAGCCCAATTTACCAAGGATCGAATTCTTATCTTGAGCGGCAGGCTTCTCAGCTTCACGGTGGGGTTGCTCACCCTCGCCCTTCTCTTCCCCCTTGTTGCTTCCCTCTCCCTCTCCTTCTCCCTCCTTGTTTCCCTCACCCTTGCCTTCTTGGTTTCCCTCATCCTTGCCCTCTCCTTCTCCCCCCTTGTTTCCCTCTCCATGTGCCTCGTGGTTTCCTTCATCGCGGTGGACTGGGTCATCATTGCAAATAACCTGAAGCGAAACGTAGTCCTCGAAGCCGTACTCAGGGAGACAAGGACTGGAGGCATGGAGCTCTCCAGGGTGGAAAGGTACAATCCAGTCAGGGTTGCCGGCACATTCCTTGTTCGCGTAAACACCCAGACCGCGGCACTCCTGGAAACTCTTCTTATTGAGAGCAGTTACAGTAAAGGAATAGGTATCGACTTCGTCATGGTCAGGCAGCTTGACTTTAGCGCAGGAACTCTCAGTCGGGAAGACCTTCTTAGGCTTGGCGTCGATGGTCTCATGCTCCTCGAGGTTGTTTCCGGGTAGTCTTCCAACATGACAATTGTCGTGGCCATGAACCTCGACTTCGACTACGCTTAGGCCCTTGCCATAGACGGCTGGGGCGAGAGCGAGCGAGGCAGCGAAGAGCTTGATTACACTTATTAGCACTCACACTATTGAAAAGTTCAAGACTTTTTTTTTTTTTATGGTACATACCGTGGAGAAGTACATTTTGTGGTTATTTGCGGAGGTAATGAAAGTCGAAGTCAAAAGGTGTTGGTCTCTGTTACACTGAATGTGCTTTAAGAGTTTGTTTTTTTTTTTTTTTTGGTCAACAGCTGTGCTGAAAAGGATGAGTATTCTCAGAGATGGCTGAAGATTTATTTATGTGTCCCAGCGACGCGCCTTTTTTCCATAGCAATAACGACCTCCATTTTTCTTGGCTTGTCTGTTCTCCTAAGGAATGAAGGAGCTGAACTGGTTATCCTGGATATACATTGGCACCTTCTATAAGCATTCACTGGAATGTGTCCTGGATTCTTAATCCTTGACTGAGCTAGAACTATCTTGCCCTAGTACCTGGAGATCATTAACCTTTGCATGATATAGCGGACTTGGTTGTCATTCCGCGTCTATGAACTCAAGCAAGGATCGCGCTGCCCTTATGCAAGGGTACGCGGCCTGAACCCCCGTCAAAGCCCCCGTTAAAATAAACAATCCTTATATTTGGTTAGTAGTAAACAAGGGTGACTGGAGTTTCTTCAAAGTCAATTGCTCCTTCTAATGAGGCTATCCGACGTTGAGTGCGGAAGGAATGTACTATATACCCTAAAATGCCTCCGTAAATTGTCTGACTTTTACAGTTTATTTCCACGATACTCCTTCTAAATGCGTACCTGCACATCCTTCGAACTGTTTCAGAACATGGCTCATTTTGGGGCGGAGAATTTAGCCCATTTGTTCTAAACTACTCCTACAATGTCTGAGATGATCTCCTAGGGCTAACTCCCTGAGTCGTCGGGACGAATTTCTAGCCACATTTGTATTACTTCAAGAGATTATAACCGGTCTCTACGGATTTTAGAAAGAATAGTTCTTAGCTAATGAAGGTATACTATAAGAGATGGCATGTAATGCATACCAACCATCGATTCACTTGGTCCATATATCGGAAAACCTGGCACCGTACTCAACCATCGACGCTGCTACGAGCTGATAGAGAAAATCAAATGGGGGTAGGCGCGTATCTGCCATGATTGCAAGTAAAGGTACAAGGATCTCTTTGTGTGTTGGTTCTTTTGATGTACAATAAGGACTTTTACATATTAGTACTTATGACCTGACTCTTGGATGCTACACATAGTTCGAAAGATATATTAACGGGTAAGCCCGGATGCCATATATATATGCTTGTGGTATCACCAACTTATAACTTGCGATGATTGCTAACACGGAGCCAATGAAGAACACTCAATCTGATCCTCTCTGGACAGAAGGAGGTACAGAGAACTTGGCTGCAACGTAACGAGGGTCATGAGAATGTCAAATCCACTATTCGCCAACACTATTTGACACTTTCCCAACAAAACATAATAAATTCTGCGGGGAGTGGGATCTACATATGAAGATACTAATTCCCGCTATTATACCAGAAACAGGCCCCGTTGTGGTTAGTCGGGTGTTGCAAGGGCTGCGCTTCGATATATCCCGGAGAAATATATACACGCCCTAGTTTTCTCTACGATGAGGATTTGCAGAACTAGAAACTCTTGGCCCTTGGGACTCTCGTACCATTAGTGGCTAATCCGTCTAACTAGGTTGTATAATGTCTGCTTGGATTTCTAACTTCAAAGAGACAATAGCATTGCATATGGGTCTGTCGTGAGATTACGTGTCATGTTCTGGTGAACTCGACTGGTCTAAACTGGTGGGCCTCATGCAGGTCTGCTTTAGACCGCACTTTGTACCACCCAATTATCGCTTTGTAAGCGGAACGAGGAAATATCTCTCTGCCGACTGAGAGACTTGCTACAATACCTCTGATTAATAGACGTCAAGTCAATTGCAGGATGGATTGGAAGTTATAAAAGCCCAATTCGCGACAGCGGATAGGCAGAAATTCAAACAGACAATACCAACCATCTACCAGCACAGATTGAAGCTCAATTGCCTTCACCATGGCTCCTGTGACTGAATCTCACACCGATGTGTAAGTTCGGTTGGAAGACCTGGATATTTGCTTCTTCGAAATATTGATCATTGTTGGTTAGACTTATCATCGGTGCTGGTCCCTCTGGCTTAGCCGCTGCATATTGGATGGCTCGTTGTGGTGTCAATGCTCGCATCATTGACAAGCGTGCCACTAAGGTGTTCCGTGGCCATGCCGATGGATTGAGGGCTGGAACATTGGAGCTCTTTGACAGCATGGGGTTTCAGCACAGAGTCTTGCATGAAGGTGTGGAAATCACCGAGTTCTGCTTCTGGGTCCGCTCCATCTCTCGTTGTTGATTCAATCCTGGGCATCGTAACTAATACATGTGCCGAGTAGGCGCCGGACGAGAATGGAAATCTGAAGCGAACAAAACAGGTTCGCAGTGAAAGCCTCGACAGTGCACCCTATCGCATGCATGGCTTGAGTCAAGGAAGAATCGAGCGTTATATCCTCGATGCGATCAAAGACAGCTCCAACCTTGTGGTCGAGAGAGGTGTCGCTGCCGAGTCGCTTGAGTATGATGCAAGCCTCGAGAATAACCATGAAGAATACCCGATCACGGCCAAGCTGAGGACACTCACTGAAGAAGAGCTAGGTGCTGCTTCAACTTATGGTGGCTCGCAGTCTCTTTCTCGTGACAATGTGGCACCGGACGACGTGGAAGACCTCACCCCGGGAAGAAAGCACGAGCCAGGTACAGTCGAGGTAGTTAAGGCGAAGTATCTCATCAGTTGTGATGGTGGCCGCAGCTGGACCAGGAAACAGTTGGATATCCCCTTCACAGGTTCCACAACCGAGCACATATGGTACCATCTTCCCCAACTATCCGAGACTTTCTCGTGACTGACGGATTTACTGCAGGGGTGTCCTTGATGTGGTTCCTATCACCAATTTTCGTAAGTCAATAGCTTCACTTACAGCACGAGCTGCATAACTAATCCAGGGCCAGCCGATGTGCGCCGAGCGGCGACGGTGTCAAGTGAATTCGGAACACTCCTCGTCATTCCACGAGAGAGGCAGCTGGTCCGTTTCTATGTCCCACTAACAGAGGTCGATGCCTCCTCGGGGCGGTTTGATCGATCTTCCATTACGTTGGACATGATGCGAGAAAAGGTACAACAGATGCTGAAGCCGTTTCAGTTTGATTTTAAGGTTTGCGACTGGTGGACTACATATCAGGTATGCCATTTGCGTGGATTTATCTTCAGGGTACTATCGTACTGAACATTTGAATCAGATTGGTCAAAGAATTGCCCAGAACTTCACCAAAGGTCGCATATATCTCGCTGGTGATGCGGTCCACAACCATTCCCCGAAGGTAGGACTGGGCATGAATATAAGTTTGCAGGACGGCTTCAACATCGGCTGGAAAGTGGCCCTCGTCGCAAAAGGAGTAGCTCATGCCTCTATCCTTGACACGTATGAACCCGAGCGCCGCCGGCTCGCTGAGATGCTTGTAGATTTCGATCGCCGCTGGTCGCCGCTGTTCCTGAAGCAACAGGGAGGCTCTCCTCCGGACGCGCACGCAAAGTTCGAAGCCATGAAGGAGATCCTCGACTCGGTGGAGCCATTTGCCGAAGGCCTTTTGTCTCATTATGGAGACAGTCCGCTAGTCCATAAAAATGGGCAAAAATTAGCCAAAAACCTTTCACCGGGAGAAAAACTCATTTCAGCCAAGGTTCGCAGCCAAGCTGATGGTATAACCCGGTGGACTACCTGGGTCTTTCAGAGCGATGGTCGCTTCCGTATATTGCTCCTCGCTGGTGATGTACGAGCAGAGGAGCAGAAGCATCGGGTGCTGACCTTCGGCGAGTACTTGGCATCCCCTGATTCGGTTTTACGGCGATTTTCGCGCAAGGCTGTGAAGCTTCATGCGACTATTGATGTGGTTACCATTCATAGTGCGCCCGTGGAGGATGTGCAATTATTTGACTTCCCCGAGGCCCTACGGCCTTTCGATGACGACAACGGCTGGGAGTATGACAAAATATGGGGTGATGAGAAATGCCATTGGGACTTGCAGTGTGATGGAAGGGTATATGAGAAGTGGGGAGTTGATCGACTGAAAGGTGCCGTTGTTGCCCTGAGGCCGGATCAATATATCGGATGGATTGGAGACTTAGAGGACGTTGAGGGGCTATCAAAATACTTTGAAGGGATTTTCCGGACCCCCAAACAGAGAGCTCTCCTATAAATGCCTGATGAGAAGTGGGTGGTCTACCGTTTCTCAACAGTAGGCCTAAATTAGGGATGTATGTATATATATATATATATCTAGAAGGAGGTACAAACTAGACTGTGGCCATATTAGGAAATGGCAGATACATTATCCATATGTTTACCACAAAGCCTACAACCAGGTAATATTCTATGCAGTCCAGATATGCTTAAGCAAAGAGAGAGATTAAATTTCCCTGGCATTTATGGTTACTACTCCGCACGACTTAATTGTTGCTTAGGTATCACTGTATCAGACCCACCGGAGAAATGTCAGCCTTAGGGCGTGCGTGTGTGTGGCCATTTAAGCGTGGGGTTGCCGAACGTATAAATCCGACTTGAAAGCCTCGGTCCGTCAGTCGACATCGACAACGCAAATAACACACCAAGTGATTCATAGCAGTAAAATAACCAAGCAAGCAAGAGATGAGTCCTCCACAATTGCCAAACCACCACCACATGGTCGTTCTGCAAGGCGACTTTGTCCGGATTCCAGAGTTCAACCTTCCCGAGCCCTATACGTTCACAAAGACAGTGTACCCCCAAACAACACTAGCAAATCTCCATGAAAGAATTTACGATGCCTCTATTCTGGTCTTATGTGCATTCCCCATTGATGCGACCGCGCTCTCCGAAGAGAAGTCCCCGCATCTCAAGCTCATTGTGATCGTGGCATCTGGCACCGACTGTGTCGATCTTGAAGTATGCAGAAAACGGGGCATTGCTGTGACTAATTGCCCGGGGGCAAACATCGCCTCTGTTTCTGAGCATGCCATGGGTCTCTACTTTACGACGCGACGGAGGCTTGCGGATATGCATGCCCAGACCCGGGCTGGAGAATGGCAAAAGCAGACCCTAATGTTCCGGTATCTGGATAAATACGGAGATCCTCCCTTGACGTGTGAGGACGAAGTGGTGGGTATTATTGGAAATGGTGGCGTAGGTATGATATACCTTTCAAATGACATGCTTTGCTGCTGCCTTCTCTATGCCAAGTATTTCTGACGGGGTGTACAGGGAAACGGATCGCCAATCTTGCCCGAGGATTAGGTATGAAAGTCTTGATCTCTGGACGTAAGAATTTTGGTAGTTCTATTGGTCCAGAAGGTGAAGATAGGACACCTTTCGATACGGTGATCAAGGAGAGCACGGTACTTTTCCTGGCAGTTCCGCTGCAGGAGACTACTCGGAACCTTATCTCGACTCCAGAGTTGGAGGCCATGTCCCATCATGCCATCCTGATCAACGTCTCTCGGGGTGGTGTTGTAGATGAAGAGGCACTGGTTAAAGCTCTGCGAGAGAACAGAATTGCTGGAGCAGCAACCGATGTATGCGTGAAGGAGCCTGCTGGACCTAATAACTCTCCTTTGCTGGCGGAGGGCACGGAGGATTTAAATTTGGTGGTGACGCCCCATTTAGCATGGTTGGCACAGAAGACCGCTCAAGGTTATTCGAAGCTGTTCAAAGATGCCGTGGAAGGATGGTTCACAGGGAATCGGTACAATGTTGTGGTATAGAGATGTCCATAACAAAGTAGATAATTGAAGTTGTCTTATCGGTGCACAGTGACATCACCAATCCGGGGAAGGCTTATCTTATCGCCGGCGCTTAGTCATTCATAATGGTGCGGCTGGACTCGTGATCGTCAATGTGATTTATCATCACCCACTCCTGTCACTGCCATCTCCCTTCTCGTCTCTTATTTACTTGTCTATATCCTTGTCATTTTCGTTATGGACTGTTGAAGCTTTCTGTATCTCAATTGTGACGGTGGTATCTGGAATGCAGGGCTGAGGGGTTAGTGTTGCGGTCGACTTGATGAACTACCAAACTATCAATATGCCGGACAACGCCTCTAAAGGTGCTCAATCGGTGAATACGGCGACTGGGGATGGATCACGCTTCCGAGATTCCGACGATTATACTGGCGAGAGGTTAGATAATGCCGATGCTGGGTTTCTCTCGACCTCTGTACCGGAACGCTCGCCGGTCACCTCCGCCCAGAGCTTTACACCCAGATCCCTTCTAGTTGGCCTCATTATCGGCGCCCTCATCACATTTTCGAACACATACTTTGGGTTGCAAACAGGATGGATTAGTACAATGGCAATGCCGTCGGCATTGATAGGATTTTCGGTCTTCAAAGTGCTCTCTAAGCATCTTTCTTATCCGTTTACCCCCATCGAGAATGTCCTCATTCAGACGGTGGCAGGGGCGGTTGGAACAATGCCACTAGGCTGTGGCTTCGTTGGTGTTATACCTGCCTTGGAGTTTCTTATAAGGGACGGTGAAGACGGGCCCTCTGGCGACGGAGGCGTTGGAGAGGGTGGACCGCTGAAACTAAGTTTCTGGAAGCTGGTTATCTGGAGTCTTGGGGTATGCTTGTTCGGTGTTGTATTTGCCGTTCCCTTGCGAAAAGAGGTCATTGTTCGCGAGAAGCTCAAGTTTCCTAGCGGTACAGCATCAGCGTTGATGCTGAGAGTCCTTCATGGAAGCGGACAGAGTGATGAGAAAGGAAAGGGCAGGGTGAGTGATGATATGGGTGTGGGGAGAGATGAAGAGGAGGAGGCGCCTATTCTTTCTCGTGTATCTGAGGAGAGCGGTGCCTTACTGAGGAAACCTACCTTGGAAGAGGAGAACAGTGACAAAAAAGATTGGAGGTCGAAGATGCGCCTCTTGGTTGGCGCGTTCGCAGTCTCTGGTGTTTATGTGAGAACCAATACCACCTCCTCTGGCTAACATAGAGCTCATGTACTAATGAATGCAGACGTTGTTTTCATACTTTGTCCCTCAAGTTCGTGATATTCCCATTTTCGGACTTTCGTTAGCGCAAAATTGGCTATGGACTCTCAATCCATCGCCAGCATATGTTGGGCAAGGAATTATCATGGGGCCTTCGACCTGTATGCATATGCTCTTTGGTGCTGTTTTAGGTTGGGGTATTTTGTCCCCATTTGCCAAGGCCCGCGGTTGGGCTCCTGGTCCTGTGGACAGCTGGGATGACGGAAGCAAGGCCTGGATTGTATGGGTTTCTCTAGCCATTATGCTCGCTGACTCGGTCGTTAGCCTCGGCTGGCTAGTGCTCAAACCAGCTGTAAAGAATGCCCCCAAACTGAAGGCCAAGCTCCTCTCTAGTCGTCTTTGGCGCCGGATTTCCCCGCAAGGCGCAGGGGAATCTCATCGCCATGATTATATCAGCTATTCGGCATTGAGCCCCATCTCTGAAGAATCCTCTATGCCAAGCCACCCCCCTGCTTTGCTAGCAGGAAGGCGCGCTGGAGCTACTGATGAGGAAGATGCCCCTCCATCTCAACTTATCTCCACAAGAACAGTGATCATCTTGCTGCCTCTGACACTGATATTGAACGTTGTTTGCATGCACTTCGTCTTTGGTGATGTCATGTCCCCATTGCTTTCCAGCCTTGCAACGCTGCTGGCTGTTCTTCTATCTATAATGGGTGTCCGTGCCCTCGGCGAGACGGACCTGAACCCGGTATCTGGGATTAGTAAACTAACGCAACTGCTTTTCTCTCTCGCAACTCCCGCCTCCCACTTTTCCCGGCGCACTGCATTAGTCACCAACCTTCTTGCTGGCGCAGTATCCGAGTCCGGTGCCCTACAGGCCGGCGATATGATGCAAGACTTGAAGACAGGCCACTTACTGGGTGCAAGCCCAAAGGCCCAGTTCTACGGCCAGATGATCGGCAGTCTAGTCGGCGCCGTGTTATCAACAGCAGTATACAAGATGTACGTGAACGTCTACGAGGTCCCGGGTCCCATGTTTCAGACCCCAACAGCATACGTCTGGATTTTCACAGCCCGCCTGGTCACAGGTCAAGGTCTCCCCCCAATGGCATGGGAAGCCGCCTCGATAGCCGGAGCAGTTTTCGTGGTCATCACTATTGTGCGTATGGTCGGTACGTCCAGCATCGCCAACGGCGGCAAACGCGACGCCACAGCCTGGTGGCGATCATATATTCCAGGCGGTATCGCCGTCGCCGTCGGCATCTTCAACGTCCCCTCATTTACCCTTGCTAGAGCTATTGGCGGACTGATCGCCTGGTGGTGGTCTCGAAAGCACGCCAAGGCTCAGGACCTTGAACCTCCCACTCAATTAGCCAACGAGGGAGAGCCCCAGGGCGCAGATACCAGAAATCCCGCGGCAGGACCCGCGCCCGGACACATTATCAAAGACGCTGATGCGGCGTCCTCAACTGTCGTGGTTCTGGCGTCTGGTTTGATCCTAGGAGAAGGTATAATTAGCATCGTTAATCTTCTTCTGGCAAGTGGAGGAGTTCCACACCTTTAGATTAGATAACGACCATTTCTCTGGGAGTATGATTTATATCTTCCGTTGCTTTGACAGTGGCATGAATACAAGCATATCATTGCAACTGCATGTTAGTTTTGAGCGGGCAGACTTTGTACTACTTTGATTTTGTGGATTTTGAAAAGTACGGGTTTATTTTACATCACATAGATACACTAGATACTTGTGGTCCTTGTGCAGGGTGAAAGGACTGAGCGAAGGGCTATGAACTACATTAGCAAGGGGTACTATACGATTATACACTGTTATTATTCTCCTTTATTTTCGGGCTCTTTATTTGACATCAACACAGATATTAGAGAGCATATACCATCATGGTTCACTGTTCGGTTTGAATGGATAAAATGCAACGTGGACATCGGAGAAAGATTAAAGCAGGTAAAATATATTGTAGTAAAGAAATAGGGTAATCACATAAAGTAATCCAAAAATCTCTGGTTTCATGATTCAATAGAAAGAAATCTTACAAAGTTGGGTATATTCCGTCAGGTGAGATATGTGCAGGCACTTGGCAGTGAAGGAAGAGACGGAAGAGAACACAGACAAATCCTCATGAAAGTGGTCTGCGAATGAGACGGAAGGGTCATACAGAATATAAGTTAAAGCAGGTGGTAGAAAAAAAAAAAAAAAAAAAGAAGAAACAAACTTGGGGAGTCGATAGCGGGGACATAAGGCGTTGTGACTTTGGATAGAGCGCTTTCGTTGCAGGAGCACATGATATCATAGCAGTCTCGTACATATTAACGACAATGCCAGCCGTTGTCCCCGTGGAAATCGACGATCATTGGTCTAGCGCGAACGCCCATAGCTCACTGGGGTGGCATGTTACTTTCCGGGGCGGGAGCGGGGGCTGGGGCTAGGTTTGGGATTGCTGGCAGCGCGCCTGATGGAGGTGGGGTTCTAGGAGCAGCCAAAGGACTCGGCCCTGGTGACCCGGCGGTGCGTGGGACTGGTCCACCAGTACTGTTGCTACGTTGCCGCTGGTTGACAGGCATCTCCGGTCGTTGCATGCCTGGGGGACCATATGGACCCGGGCTCATCGAGCGAGGCGGCATTGGTCGAGGGCCTGGCCCTGGCGAGAATGATCGGGGAGCAGGGGGAAACTGAGCAGGGGACATCGGGCGCTGTGGATGAGGACGCGGTGCCTGAGGCCCAACATAGCCAGGATGAGCCGGAGACATGGGACGTGCTGGGGACATAGGACGCGCTGGCGACATCGGGCGAGCAGGAGACATTGGGCGTCCACCTGGTGGATAGAAACGAGGATTGGGCATGGCACCAGGAGGCATCGGGCCATTGGGTCCCATCATTGGTGGACCACGTGGGCCGGGGCCAGCCCCCGGAGGTGGTCGAGCTCGAGGCTTCACAGGGCGAGAAGAGAGACATGAACGAGGGGCCACACCTTGCTGTGAATGGTCCATTCTGGTACAGAGAGCCCACCCGTCATCGTACTCATGGAGAAGCCGAACAAGCTGGCCGACATGAAGCTCCAATTCATCTTCCATGGAAGGACTGAAGTCCATCTGTACGCGATGCACATTGAGAGGAGCTGGAGGGGGAGGTGGACCCTGTTCAGAAGGGCCAAAGGCAGGAACTGCAGCAACAACAGGAGGAGTAGAACCAGTTGCTTCAGTGCCGTCTGGAGCATTGACAGGGCTCGTTTCCGCACGTTCAGGCTGAGAATCAGCCTTCGGCTCGGAGCTTTCAGGTTGACTAGGATGATCATTCTCGGTAGACTTGGAGGCAACTGCAGCAACTGCAGCACCTCCAGCCGCTGCAGCCACCACCGCACCTGCAGCAGCCGCTCCCACAGCGGCTTCAGCAGGAACCGGATTTGAAGGCGCCATGGTCTCAGGGGCAGTTGGAGGGGTTATCGGTCTGGCCACATCATTGGGGGATGGCGCCTCCGCCTGGTTGCTGAAGGGATTCACCGGGTCAGTAAAAGGATCCGAGGTGCCTACATTCGACTGCGGAGTGTGGGGTGGTGAGACATGTTCCGTGAGGTTGCGCGAGGCAGCGGCAGTTGCTCCAAGAGTTGCGCCTGCACCAGCCGCAGAGAGAGCTCCTGTGGAAGAGGGGGTGAGATCAGGTGCAAACTGGGTCACCGGTCGAACGTTGAGCTGCGGTGGATTGGTAGGAGTCATCGGCTCAAACTTTGGCGGAGGAGGGGGAGGTGCTACGCTGCTGGCAGCAAATGCTTTCTCATTTTCGGGCTCTATTTCGTCAATTTTCTGGCCCTGCTTCTTTTTGCGCATGAACAAGAAAATGAGAGCCGCGATTAAGCCGACTCCCAGAATTACACCTATCGCAATGCCCGCTTTTGCACCTCCTGTGAGGCCTTCAGTTCCAGAAGCTCCAGGAAGAGCGGTTGACGAAGCAGCTGATTTATCCGAAGACGACGTATGCGTGGCAGCAGCATCTTCCAATCCAGCATTGGACAAGGAGGAAGTAGAGGAGGTAGCTGTTGAGAAGGTAGTCATTGCGGTAGGGGTGTTCTTCTGATCGGTCGTGGATGTCTCTTTCTCAGTTGCCTTGGTAGTCTGTTGCGTCTTAGTAGGCTGTTCCTTGGTGGTCTCAGTCGTCTCGATCTTGGTGGTGGCTGTTGTTTTCGTCTCCACTGCCGTAGTTTTCTTCGTTGGTTTCTCAGTCGTAGTTGGTTCTTCCTTGGTAGATGTGCGACTTTGTTGAACGGCAGGACCAACGCCGACTGTGGGAGCCGCGGTCTTTGTTTTTGGGTCTTCACCTGTCACATAACCACCTACAGGACCGTCAAAGTCTGCGGAAGCAGTTACATAAACCACCGTGACTTCTTGTCCGTTATCGCCATGGTCGGGATTCCGTGCCTCCAGGCTGGGGCCATGGTTGTGATTATGGGCATGAACCATGGTTTGTGTCGTTTAATCCACCAGAAGTCGAGATACCATCCACTGAAACCCAGGTCAATTTTGGCTCAAACGACAGAGCAGGGGGACATATGCTGTTGGCGGCACAAAGATTGAATAGTCTGTCGTCCTTTTACTTTTCCCAGGAAGGCCACGACGCTTGGGATGGCGTGGTGGTTGCCGATTGTACTTGTAGACTTGTAGAATTGATATAGTTCAAAAGAATGTATGGGGGCTTGCCCAGTAAATGCACGCGAGTAGATTTGGCTTTGATTCAATCTCGCCAGAAGAGCCGGCCGCGTGTGAAAGTAAAAGTGGCGCAAGCGCGTTAAGGAATGAGGAATGTGAAGGTGAGAATGATAAAGAATGGAAATTGTCAGCTATAGCGCTGAAGTGGCTGGTTCCCAGCCGGCGCAAGTCGATAAAAGAAGGACAACGAGCTTCCAGGCCGTACGATGTGAACGAAAGGAAGGGAACCCAGCGTGCGGGATTCCCAGGCGATTGGGTAGAAATGAAAGAAGGACTTGGAGAAGAGTGTAAGAGGAGAAGAACGACAACAGATTGGGGGATATTTGGGAAATCAGCCAAACATGTTGAATACTCTTCGTCCTAACCCTACCTCGCAAAAATACCGGTAATTACCGCGGTGGTTCCCTTGGCTGCAAGTAAACGAAATGAGATCAAAGCTTATGGAGGTTAATGAGGGGGAACCCACCCAATCAGGGTCTGGTATCCGCTGGTATTGGTCTGACGACGCTAACCCACTGGGGCGGGGGATTATGCCGATAGCCCCACTGTTTGCCGGCTGCTACTGGCTCTCACTGGCTCAGATGGGAAATTGAGCTGTACGGTGCCTGGTTATCTGACGGTAAATACGGACACGAGGGCCATGCCGAGTCACCCGCCACTGTTATTCGAGCACAACTCGATCCCCATGCACGAGCGTCCTTGGGCTGACGGGCAGTATGGTATCGTACCGCAGCCAACAACATGGACGCTGCATCCAATCATCCTAAATTCTCTATAATTGGGAACTTTTTTTCCATCCATTCTGTCCTCCCCACCCCTTTTATTTGATTTGGCTTTTTGTTATACCTGTTCCTGTCCCAACGAACCGCATCAAAACACAAGGAGATGCCCCCCGTGCTTCTCGCGGTATGATAGAATGCTTACATATACAGACATACATATATCGAGATCCGACAATGCAATGGAAAGTGGCCGAGGTCGCTTATTCGGATTAATCTGGAGAAGATCGACCACTGTTCAATATAACGGGACCCGTGATTTTAATTAGCCAAGCCTCTCGCTCCTCCGGCCTTTCCTAGTGGCATCCACTTATCCCCGAAAGACGTTGCATTGATCCTCTTCGCTGAGTCTGCTCTCGCCGTTTCAGCCTCGCGTGGCGGATTTCTTCTCTCATACAACAAAATAATTTATGAGGTGACAGGGGGAAAGAGGAGATCAATGCAATTCGCAATTCACAATTCATTCACTTGCATGAAGCAAAGCATGGAAAAAAAAGGGGCAAGACAGAGTTTCTGCAGGAATGTGGGCCGCAGGGAGACCTTAAACTGGGGTTCCTGAAGCTTTCGTCGTTCTTTTTCCTTTCTTTTCTTTTCTCATCGCACAAAAACCATCAGGCAATCATCACGTGAGCACATGTAATCCACGTTGAAGATGAGGGACTCCCCGGAGGCGAACTACCGTGTAGTTGGCATTTCATTGAAGGTGGAGTTTTACCGACGGCTTTTCTTTTTTTCCCCTGTCGGTCAGTGCCGACCGTCCTCGCTCTTTAGGCGTGATCATCTCTCGATTTTGAGCCGTCAAGAATACTGAAACGCCTAAAAGATGCCGGTGGGACCCGGCATGATTGTTAACAGCAGACCGCCATACATTATATTTACACAATTTCCATCATATGAACACTTAACCAGTGGACCCATGGGGTCTTTTCTTTCCCCTTCTCTTCATCCTATCTTTCCTGCCCGTAACATGTGATTGATGGTCTTCCGTACCGGCCGTTAACATGCCGAAAAATAGGGATGTCTGAGAGCCTGTCGAGGTATTAGATTTCGGTAGAAAAATCTCCGGAGGCCGTCTCGAGTGACTATAACAGTCCTCAACTCCTGGGAAGCTTACCTGTGTAGCAGAAATGCGCTGGCTACTCTCATAACGCACCAGTTGGCTTACTAAGTCCCGACCTTTCGAGGACGCCCCTCGAAGGATGTCATCCCACGACTTGGAAGGATATCTATAGAATTCTACCTTGCCCCAGTCTGGAAGTTTCTCGGTTTCCTGTTACTGCCGTATCAGTATGCGCCAACCGAAATGTTTTCAGCAGGGGTCATGGCATACCGGCCATATTTCTTCGTCAGGAGTACCCAAGGTTTGGAATATAGATTGGATAAGCGAGAGATCGCTGCCCAGAGGCCCAGAGTCGAAAAGTTGCTTGTGCCCTACAGCCACGGCCTCCGCGACCACGCACCCAGCCGCCCAAAGATCGAGAGCTGTGCCATATCCTTTATAACCAAACAATATCTCAGGAGGTCGATAACATGTGGTTCCCACGTCTGTAATCTTTTTATCCGTTGGTTCAGTCTCGTTATGTCCCTCCTTCCAAGCGATCCCAAAGTCTGCCAAGTAGGCTGGTCCATCGGGTGAGTCCAGAAGAATGTTCGAAGGTTTTATGTCCCGATGTATAACTCCCAACTCATGGACGTGCGCCAAGGCCCGAAACAAATCGCGCAAATGAGATCTGGTCTGCGTAGCAGTCAACATGCCTCGTCGCAATAAATGTTCAAAGTCATGCTTCATGAAGGGGAACACTAGAATCAGTCGTCCTCCGTCAAGTTTCAGCGTTTCGAGTAAAGGTATCACATAAGCTCCAGCGCTTTCTCGCAAGAGTTGAACTTCGCACTTCGCGTCGTGTGGTGGTACTAAAAGGTGGGGGACAGTAACTTTCACAGCAACCAGGGTCCCATCAGTTCTCCTGGATTTGTAGATAGTGGAATGAAGCCCATCAAAATGATGAAGGCATGCCTTGTATGGTCCGATATCCTGGCCCGCAGGCCAGTCCTCTACCCCTTCCTTATTCTGTATCTGATCGGAGCTACTAATTACAGGAGCAGCCGAACCAGTGGCTTCGGCTGCGTCAATGGCCTTCTGGCACAATTGATCATATTCTTCCTACGTATAACAAGACTGAGTAAATATTTGCGGACAGAAGATGAGGCGTATTGCTAGGAGCCCATACCTTCGATGTGGCCTGATCATAAGCTTCGGTCTCAAATCTCTTTGCCTGAGACTGCGCCTCTGCAAATGCAGCAGACGACGAAGCACGCTGATAAGCCGTTGTCCTAAGGGATAGGCATGAGCATTGCCCTGGTACAGAGTGCAAAGTTGTCTTCTCTTACAACGATTGTATGGCTGTTAACCTATCTGTGAAGCCAAGGGCTTTCTTCCAATCGGCCATTGTTTAAACGTGGCGACAAGTGTAGCAATCACCAGAGATATTGTTCAATAGATGTAGGGAAGTGTTACAGCCAAGCTAGCTAGAGGTATTTTAACGGATCCTTTTAACGCACTTGAAGGCAACAATCAATTCACTCTCTAGACTCATGATGCTCTACTCCATACTTAAGTCAGGCACTAACTTTCTCTTACTAGTGGATACATACAGGAAGGCGGCGGGACATGTGACAACTAACCTCGCTAAGCTCAGTGCGGTTTAGCTCTCCCTTCCGAGTCCGGGTCCGCTTTTAGTTCTTCCGGGCGTTGCAACCCGTCATCGTCATCATAGCACTTCCTCTTCCTTCCTCCACATCCCGCAGCTGTACTGCACGTTTACCGACTTGCATTGGTCTTTCGGACTTACATCACTCTTTCGTTAACAAATCACTCATTTTTCGGGCGTTTTTCTCGCATCTCTACGGGCTGGACCTTATTATGCGCCGCCCCCCTCATCGACTTGTACAGCTGTGACCTATGTGTATTTAAATGATGGATCTCTCACGGCAGGAGTATCCAGCTTTGCTGGTAAGGTCGAGACACTCTTCCCCTCCCCATGACCCAATCTAGATCTACCGGGCTTAAAGAACTTCGCTGATTGATATGTTTACTCTCTTCAGGCCTCTTTGCAGCCAGGCCAAGCTACCGGTGTTCTCAACGACCGCATTCGCCTCATCAACAAGATCAATGCCGACATCGCGGATTGGTTGCAGGTATGATAGTGGCACCTTTCAAATTCAGTGACGTGGATTGGGCGAGCTAATCCTGATCCGCGCAATAGGAGCGACGCCGCGTCGAAGAAGCATACGCCCAAGGGTTACGGAAACTTGCGACGCGCCAGCAACTGGATAATGGAGCGGCACTAGGGTAAGCTCAGGTCGCATTAGAATATCTCACTCGGGATACCAATTCTCTAACGTGGTGTCAATTGGCCAAATAGAATATTCCAGATACCATGGCAACGCATCGTCAATGCCACGGAAATGGTGGCCTCGTCGCATGAAACCTTCGCACAGAAGATCGAGGAAGATGTGGAACGCCCTCTAAGGGATTACCACACCAAGAACCGCGAATTGGCATCTTTGCCTGGGGTCCAGAGCGATCTTGCAACTCTTGCGAAGAACTTGGAAGCATCGCTCAAAAAGGTGGAGAAAGCCAGAGAGAAAGGCCCGAAGGGTGCAGACAAGCTGGCTGGCGCGGTTGCTGCCTCTGAAGGAGTTAGGCAGGAATGGGAGTCCAGGGCACCTTTCGCTTTTGAACAGCTTCAAGCAGCTGACGAGAGTCGACTCAACCATCTGCGAGACGCGCTCACCCAGCTGGAAACTCACGAGTCGGATCAGGTTGAGCGTTGCCGTCAAGCGGCAGAAACTTGTTTAAATGTACTTCTCAATGTGGAGACCGCAGACGAAATCAAAACATTTGCTGAAAAGGTCAATGGGGGAAGGCCGGTTATATTGAGGCAACAGACCTCTCCTACCCCTGCAGCAGCACCTTCTGGACCACCGCCACGCCTTCATGATGACACTGCTAGTCAACGCTCAGAGACTTCTGGCCCTGTCAGAACACCACCTGGTAAGTACTGTCCTTTTGACCGACCCGACTGTTGTCTTTCAAACGTCTTGGATGTCGTTATCGATGATATTCTTACTTTTTGTATAGCACCTGAGCCCCAACCCCGCCATAGCACACCCCTTGGCGGACTCAAGCGATTAGGTACCGTCATGAATAGAAGGAAGAGCATAATACAACCCTCAGGAGGGGCTGCGTTCTTTTCGGATAAGAAACACCGCAGCCCTTTTGCGTCTTTCAAACGGGGAGATTCTCGAGACATGCAAATCCCCGAGTCACTACCGGATGAGGAACGCCCGGGTACTGCATTGACTACTCAGGAAAACCACAATGAAGCTACACGCATCCCCAGCGAAACCAATGATCATGAAGGCCACGGTACGATGGCCTCCATCCCGGCCGCTCAGTCAGTACCAACAACTGCGAACGGGACAACAGCCCCAGAGCCCCCTGCTGAGACAGGTTTTGCTATCAGTGACTCAAACCAGGTAAGATGTAGTGATACGATGGATGTATTTCAGACCGTTAATTTCACGTAACAGCCACGGGTCGACTCCGAAGGATTCTCGGAACCACCTCAGACTATTGATGAGATCACTCGTGCACAGAGAGAAGCAGCTGGGTATGTGAATCTCACATCTTCCACAGAAAATCAGTTGCTAATCATATCTATAGTATGGAGGAAGCTGGCATCAATCTAACAATTCGGGATCAGCCTATATTCGAAGATGAAGATCAAGCTAAGCAAGCAATGGACGATATGGCTAATCAGTTGAGACTGGTGAGTGTTATATGGACATGCCCCTTTGGCACCCCTTTGGCACCTTGCTGACGGTCTGGCCATCCAGCGAGCCCAGCAAAGCGGTGTGAGACGCAATGTAGGGACCTTGCGCGGCCGGCGTGACGTCCGTAACACAGTGTTCATTCCTAATCCACCGCAAGGTAGTGATGTCCCCACTCTGCCATCTGGGTCTGACGTCTCTATGCCGGTTTCTCCGGGTCTCCCATCAAAGCATGCGGCTTCTCCCAGCATTGCAACAGAAGATCATGCTCTGTCGGATACAACCTCGGTTCGCTCGGGGCACACTTTGCACGGTAGCTCAGGTGCAGTTGCACACCCTGATCTCCACGAACCAGGTCTGAACGCGTCTATCATTGAAACGGTTAATGCATGGTTATCCGACGGTGTTGTAACCAAGTCATCCGTCATTGGAGAGCTTGCATTAGCATACAACGGAACCCCCGAGGCGAACACCACAGTTCGTTTAGAAAATTTCCAGGTGCTGGAGAAGGTAGCTGCAAATCCTCATTTCGTGAATGAAGAGAAAGATAAGGATTTATCCGATGAAAAGAGAGGACAGTACAGCATACATATACCCACAATTGCTCGTCCCTCACCGACAGTGGCTTTCAAGTACCAACTTCATGTTGACCCATCCGACTCTTCCGCCTACTGTCCGGTTATTTTCAAACCTGTATGGAACATTGAGGAACATCAGGCTAGTGTCATCATCTTCTATTCCTTGAATCCGTCGTTCACATCTTCCTCACCGAGAGAATCAATCACCCTTAAGAACCTGGTTCTGACGGTGAACCTGGATACATCTCCTGAGGAAGGGCGAGAAGTGGCCCATGCTACGAGTGCCGTGATGTATCCTAATACGGGGGCGTCCTTCCGTCGCAAGCACTCGGCAGTGACCTGGAAGATGCCTGAGTTCGAAATTAAAACCGGATCTGACGGCAAGCTGCTGGTTCGATTCTCAACGGCAACTAGTTGGCCAAGAAAAGGGAAGGTCGACGCAAAATTCGAGGTCCACACTCCTGATGCTGGCTCGCGACTGGGAATCAGTGCCGCGTTACCAACAGAGGAGAGTACGCCAAAAGGATCTGATCCTTTTGCGGACGAAGACTCCGGTGCACATGACGATACTCAACCCTCCCTAACATGGAAAGAGGTTCCTACTACTCGCAAGCTGGTTGGAGGCAAATATGTCTCATCCTAGCAGACTGTTGTGCTACCTTAGAACCGATGGTCCTTAATCAGGACCTCAGTGTCACGAGAACAGCACCTTCCTTTGCACTTTCTACGAACAAATTATGATCGCAACCCGCCGGACCGTTCCAGTTTCAAGATACCACCGTAACTGTCTTTGTCGGATTTCTTTGGAATAGTACGCCTTCCAAAAGTTTGTCTGCTGACACTACCTGCCGCCATATTAGCACATAATTTACTCCCACGACTTTGTATGTTACTCTCGTTCTACCAATCTTTCTCTTCCTTTCTCTTGACTATTTTCCTTTCTCCTTTTGTGCGAGGTATATATCTATCGTCTCTTCGGTCCTTTGATTTCTTTACGTTCGTTTTCTTCGTTTCTTTCCCTCTATTGCTCCCCTGTGTCGCAGTAATCTTTGTGTGTATAGCCACCCTCCGGACAGGTAGGCATGGCATTTCGCCTGTAAATAGGTTCTCACCGTGGGATAGCCGGCGCATATTAATGCCCCAAATACCAGCAACGTATGTATTTAGCAGTGACGCTTTTCAGACGATTTAGGTATCAAGGCAGCAATGCCGTCGTTAATGACCGTTTCTCTAAACCAAAGATGATACTGTATTTCAAATTCATGGTTGTCTTCATAGTAATACAGGCTTGGTGATCAGATAAAACATGGCACAGTGACACCTCTGTGCCGGGGAATCGCTAAAAGTAACATAAGAAACAGCCGATTTATACCCATTGACATCGGTGATGAAACCAGAAAGACCAAAGGAAAAGAAGGTGAAAACAAGAACTAGGAAGGCCGACTACATCCGAGCAGCTCGTGTAGTCTTATCATAGAAATCCAACGTCATTGCGGCCAGGAAACAGGGTATATCTTTCCGTTCCTCGACCCAGAATTTGATGAGGGGTCGGATTTCCATAGCGAATAGACTATTTGGCCCACCAGAAATCTTCATCGTGCCGTTCTCTCCGTCGAAAATGATTGAATTTTCTTCGCCATTGCCCATGCTGCCAGGTCCGCGAGAGTCAGAAGGGACGTCGCCGTCGCCGTGTCTGTAGGCGGGCGAGAGGTGGAACATAGATGTCACTCGTACACGCCCGTTGGGGAGGAAGTCTAGTTTATATCCGAGCAGGGAGGCAACGGCCTCCCGGAACTCGGATGACTTGGCAGTCCATATTTCCTTTAGTCGTCGCATGCGCTTCTCCTTATCTGCGACGACCCGCTCCATCTCTTGAATTTCTAGCTTTAGACTCTCTAGGGTGCTAACGGGGACAACTTTAACACTGTTGTGGTCGCCCTGGAGTTGGGCAAGCAAGTCACGGTTCTCAGCTTTGAGGGTTGTGATGGTGGAGAGTTTGAGATTCTCGGCTTGCGCAGTGGGATTATCACGGAGCTCAAGAACGCGTGTGCGTGACTTGGCTTTGAGAGACTTGAGCTGGGATTTGGTAGCTTCAAGCTCTCGGCGTAGGAGAGTTGACGCCTGTTCAGACTTGGAGAGCGACTCTTGCAATGTCCTGTTTTTCCGGGATAAGATAGAAAGACGCTCGTTCTCCGCATCGCTCTCGGCAGGGGACAAAGGCCGCTTAACACCCCGAGGTTCTGCGTCCTGCTGTTCAGTAGGCTCCCGTTTTGAGAGTTCCTCGTGAGCTTTCTCCAGTTCCTGTCTGTATTCATCAACGATCTTTTCCAGATTGGCGATCTGCTCTGACTTATGCTCGTCGAATTGGCTTTGTTCCGCGTTCATTGTCACCTCTTCCGTGTCAAAAGTCTTCAATTGTGCGCGGAGATACTCAACCTCCTTCACCGCGAGCGCCCGCTGGCGATCTAGCCTTGCCCGAATTCTGCTCTCGGCCATGGCTCCTCCATTTGCAGCATTGCTACTCCGGAGCTTTTCAATTTCCTGTCGCAGGTGGCTCCTCTCGGTTTCCAAGCTTCTTATCAGCTCGTCTTTCTCCAGAAACTGCGCTTCGACGTTGCCAAGTTTATCAACCAGTGTTGCTTTCTCAATCCGCTCTTGCAGTAGAGCCTTCACAACTGCTTCTGGCGAGTCGATCTCGACCTGTTCATCGTTGTCCTGTAGAAGACTGGTCCATGACCTCCGCTCGTCTTCGAGCATCTGTTTCTGGATCTGAACTGTTCCCAACTCGGATTCCACCTCCTTCATCAATTGTAGCTGATTCTCGAGTGACTTCTTCTGCTCTTCCACCACTTCAACATTTTTCTGCACTTTTCGAAGATGCCGCAACTCCGCACTTTGTTCCCGATTCGTAGTCTCCAAATTCCTGATATGGCTGACCTGCTCTGAAAGCTCTCTTTTGAGAACAGCTACCGTCTCTACATCACTTCCTTCGGCTTTCAGTCGTATATTCTCGGTTTCGAGGTTGGCGACATCCGCTTCTCGTTCACGCAATTTCTCTTGGGTATTCTGTGCGTCATTCCTGGCGCTCTGGAGATCGTTTTGCAATTCTTCGAGTGTTTTCTGGAGGGATGAGCGAATAGTCTCTAGTTCGTTAATTTGATATTTTGCTTGTCTCTCCTGGTCGAGCAATTGGGCTTTCGTATCATCGACATCATCCTGTAAGCTTTGGTTCTGATCTTGGAGGCTTCTGATCTTCCGCTCAAAGCCGCCTTTCTCGTTCAGCGCTGTTTCTTGAGCCTCTTTCAACTCTTTGGCGAGAGACTCGCTTTTGTGATTGGCGCGGTGACTGGCAGATTCTGCAGCCTACAGAGGAAGTCCAGTCAGTTTTATGATTGCCCAGTGCCATAATTTGTACACACCTGTGCTTTCCTGAAGTCCGCATCTGCCTTTAATTGAACATCCCGAAGCTCTTTCTCATGGCGCAGTACCATCAAATCCCGCTCCTGCTTGATATTCTCCAGTTCATATCTTAAAGTGTTGACTTGGACACGCAGCTCTTCCTTTTCCGTGTCTGTAAGGGAGTTAGTCGTATGAGATGCATCATCCGCCGCCAAGGATTGGAGCTCACCAGGCTTTGAAACTTGGGAGGGGCGAATGGACTGTCGCAAAGGACTTGGAGCCGGGGGAATCGATAATGGCGAGGCACTCCGTGGTGGCGAGCCCCAAGAAAGCTGTGAATTCCTACTTGAGTTCATCTAAAGCTCGTTAGTTCCTCTGAAGTTTTAAAGATTCGCAAGGTATGTTGCTTATCTACCTTTGACTATGCAAGTTAATGGAAACCAATGATTAATCAATTGCGAACGAGGTCATGGAAATTAAGTGAGGGCCCGATAGAAGCTACCTCAAGCTCCCTTAGGTTGACTCCCACAACTCGACCGAGTCAAGCACGCAGAGAAGGAATAGCCGTACGGAGCAATTCGATGTCGGCTTGTTGTTTTGGAAGGGTGAATAGAACATCCCGATCCGGTACTGGATGAGTCAGCACCGTTCACCGCCCGCCAGAAGCTCGCGTTCCCGGAAAGGATTAGCGCCGAAATTTTGAAAGATTTCGAATTTTTGCGGCCTCCAAAAGTGAGCGATAAACTACTACTCCCCACGCCCACCGTCCTCCGATTGCCGCCCTTTTCCCTCCTCGTTTTGTTCGATTCCCCCGGGTGATACCAGACTTAAAAATGGCCAAGGACAAGGTTGAGAAGAAGGACAAGCGCGAGAAGAAGGAAAAGCGCTCGGAGAAGGAGGGTGTCCACAAAAGCAAGAAGGACAAGAAGGAGAAGAAGGATAAGACCGCTCTCGCCGATGCGGTTGAGCAAGAGCTTACGACTAAGGTTTTGGATGGAATTGACAATGCTGTCGCTGTGGAAGCCACTGCCGATGTCGAGACTGAGGTGATGGATGTCGATGTCCGCCCTGTTGGCGCCCTCGTGCCATTTGCCCAGCCTCTGGTGGAAGACAAGTCGGCAAAGAAGGTGTTGAAGAGTGTGAAGAAGGGTAAGTTAAATCTTGACGTTAACCCACTTTCGGATGATGCGCATGGTGCCTCGTGCCTCAATCCGAGCCAATTTCACTTCTACAATCTAAAACCCGTCTATGATTCGTATTGTCATGTGTAAAGCTTCCAACTCGTTTCAATGACGCTAATATGATGATTCTACTGTAGCTGCCGTGAACAAGTGCCTCAAGCGCGGTGTGAAGGAAGTTGTCAAGGCTCTCCGGAAATCTCCCGTTCCCGCACCTAACGCCCCGACCGGCACTCCCAATGGAGTTGTGGTCCTTGCTGCCGACATCTCCCCAATGGATGTCCTTTCGCATATTCCCGTCCTCTGTGAGGACCATGGCATTCCCTACGTTTTCGTCACATCTCGAGCTGAGCTCGGTAACTCTGCCGCAACAAAGCGTCCCACCAGTGTCACCATGGTTGTTCCCAAGTCGGCCGCAAAGGGAAAGAAGAGTGAATCAGCAGATGATGAGGACTTTAGCAGTGTGTACGATGAGCTGGTCAAGCTCGTTCAGAAGGAGGCCAAGAAGGTTAACCTTTAAAATCTGAGCGACTTTGACCTTCGTTATGTGTTTTTGTTATTCTAATTATAAGGCTTCTTTATCTGTTCTTGTCGCTTGCTATGGCTGTACAGTTCCACTTTGATGTCTGACAAGACAGTGCATGTCTTCGGGGTCTGGCCTTTGGGACGTGTTCATTGGGTTGATCTTTTATGATGTGTCCGTTGCAAATCTGGCGTTCTCAAATCGGTGTACGAAAAAAGGCAGGAAATCTGGAAATAGAAATTTTTCTATTCAACTAAGTGCCCTGGCTATGTAGAAAGTCTCGCAAAAATGCCGGTGATTTTATACTCCTCGCAGCGAGCGTGGCAAACGATCGTGCACGTGACACTAGTTCTATACTAAGATCTCGAACTATTGTTTTCCTTGCAGATAACGCCTTGCAGGTTTGCATTTGCTATAAAGAAAACTAAGCTAAGTAAACTTGGGGAAATCGACCACTTCTAGACTTGGGACCGTCTTCCTGCTGACCAATTTGCCACAGATGTGGTTTGGAGCAAGCAACTCATCGGGCAACGCCAATTGGACTATAGAGTTGAATCGGGACCCTCCAGCTACGTGGTTTATGCATAACTGCGGCTCTTAGGCAGTTCATGCGCTGCTTTTCTTTATACTCCCTTGAAAAGGTGCAGGAAAATATCTTGGCCTGGCTGGTCAGGTGTCTCGTCGACATGTAGTATGATATCTTGGGAATTGGTTCGCATCACCCTACCAATTCAATTGGTGTCTCTGACAAAGATGGCAATGTGCCCAATACGTCAGCGTGCTTATTAGTGTCTATTGTGGCTACTAGTTTTGATGCTATCACTCGTGTCCCGAACATCACCGAAAAGCACTCAAACAAAGGACCGCATGCATGAGCCCATTGATCCTTTGCAGGCGGCATTCCTAAATGGACAATTAAAACAATTATAAATATCTGAGTTAAACAGGAGGTTCGCCTCTCCTTGTTGGCAACAGTGAAAAGTCTGTACATCTTCCCCCCTCTTCAGTGCTTGCATCTCCAGTTCTCAGTTTGTTTTTAACATTCCTGGCACACTATTTCATCATGGCAGAGCATGAAATCGCCCCTATTGGGAAGAGGCTTATGGTTCAGGTCATCGACGATGTGGCTGAGCGAGATCCAGAGAGGAAAGTATGTGCTGTGCCTAAGGGCTCCGAGATCTCGGATGGGTTCTTTGACTTGACTTTCCGAGAGCTTGCTCATGCGGTAAATTATATGTCGTGGTGGATTGTAGAGGCCTTTGGCCGTAGCTCCACCATGGAAACATTGACTTATCTCGGGGCAAATGATATACGTTATCTTGTGATGGTAATGGCGTGTAATAAGACGGGCTATAAGGTGAGAGACGGTGGATCAGATTAATTTCGTTGACTTGATACTAACCAGGGAGCTGCTAGCCCCTACTTTCATCTACTAGGAACTCAGATGAAGCACATCTTCGTCTCCTCGAAGTCACCAATTGCTCGAAACTGGCATATAGTACGGAGAGAGGCCAGAGAGCAATGGAAATAAAGGCTCTTCGAGCCGACTTAACGACCGTGGTAATTCCAGCCTCAACAGAGATTCTCGGGGGAGCTACAACGCCGTATCCATTTGCTAAGTCTTTTGAAGAAGTCAAGGATGATGTGGCCTTTATTGCCCACAGCTCTGGTACAACTGGTGAGTAGTGTGAGTCATAGTATGGATTAAGGTGAACAAATGTGCAACCATGACCAAACCTACTCTGGTACAAGAAGCCATACCTCTAGATCATCAACTGATATTCCTCATCAAACGACAGGAATCCCGAAGCCTATCCAACTGACATTCGGCTACTTTGGTGCTCTGGATGCCGGCGCCTATGTTCCTATCCCTCCAGGACGTTTCTCGGGGGTACCTGATCGACTCAGCAAAGATGACGTTATCTTGGCTGCGGCGCCATTCTTTCACCTCATGGGGTTCTCGTTGTTGATCATATCTGTCTTTCATGGTATTCGTTGCGTGGTAGCCCCAGATAAACCATTATCGACTGAGTTCTTGACTTCTATGCTCAATGCAACCACGCCCACGGCGATATTGCTACCACCGTGCATCCTAGAAGATATGACCCTATCACAAGCCTCTATGGAAGCCCTCTGGAGCTTGAAATACGTGTTTTGGGGTGGTTCTTCTCTCTCGCCTGAGGTCGGTCGCAAGATCAGAGAGCACACCCCGCTGGCGGGCTTCATGGGAATGACCGAAGCTGGTTTTATACTTTCCTTAGCTCCCGAGGACAAGGAAGACTGGGAGTATTTCGAATGGTGGCCGACCAATGGGATCGAGATGGAGCTAGTGGATGATGACCTGTATGAAATGGTCATACACAGACATTATGAGCCATTCCTACAACCCATCTTCCACACATTCCCTGATTTGGACGAGTATCATACGAAGGATGTGTACACACGGCATCCAACCAAACCTAACCTGTGGAAGCTGCGCGGCCGTCTAGATGACGTTGTATCGCTCAGTAACGGGGAGAAGTTCAACCCAGTCACGATGGAGAAGATCATCGAGGGACATGCCTTGGTTGCGAGAGCTGTTGTTGTAGGCAATGGCAAATTTCAACCAGCTCTACTTGTTGAACCCAATTGGAATCAATGGAGTGAAGATAGTCCAGTTGGGGACTTGATCGCCCAAGTTTGGCCAACAGTTCAAGATGCGAACCGTATCAACCCAGCCCATGGACGGATCATGAAAAACAAGATTGGCGTAGCATCTAAAGCCAAACCGTTTCAGACAACACCCAAAGGGAGCACACAGCGGCGACTTGTCACTCGCGACTATGAGAAGGAGATCGAGGATATTTATACAAAACAGGACGATGAAATCATGGAATATCAAATACCAGAGACAGCTGATTTGTTTGGTATTCAGGAATTTGTCCGAAATGTGGTTTCAGACGCTCTTGGATTCTCCTCATTCTCAGACCAGACAGACTTTTACAGTCTGGGGCTGGATTCTTTGCAGACAATGCAGCTAGGCCGAACTTTCCACGGTTCAATATGTTCGTGTCGGCCATCGACCAAATCTAGGGCTATCACAGCTCAGCATATATACGGCAATCCCACTGTCGAACAATTGGCCAAGTTTATATACGGTATCACTAGCAATGCGGAGCAGAGCATGGTGTCGCGATCTGAAAAAATTGATGCCTTGGTGCAGAAATACACGGCTGACCTGCCTGTGCGCAAAGCTAGTACACGCAAGACGACAGATCAACACACTGTAATTCTTACTGGGTCTACCGGATCGCTCGGGAATTACCTGCTCCATACCTTATTGAGCAATCCTTCTGTCGTCAAGGTGTACTGTTTGAATCGATCAGAGGCAAAAGATAGACAAGTAAAGAGTTTCCAAGAAAAGGGATTGGAGTACGATTTCGGTCAAGGACGAGTCGAATTCCTTGTCGCATCTTTTGGAGAGGAGAAGTTCGGCCTCAGCGAATCCAAGTACGAAGAGATGCTCCGCACAGTAACTACAGTCGTTCACAATGCCTGGAGAATGGATTTCAATATTTCTGTTGATTCATTTGAAGATGTCCACATTCTCGGTGTCCGTCATTTTATCGACTTCAGTATACAGAGCATACACCATGCTCACATCTTCTTCATGTCTTCTATAGGAACCATCGGCGGATGGAGCCTCACCCATGGACCATCCGTTCCCGAAACACCCTTGGAGGACTGTGACGTGACTTTGCGTCAGGGGTATGCTGAAGCAAAGCATATTTGCGAGCGTATCTGCCTGGCAGCATCTCAGAAAGCGGGTGTACCAACAACGCTTTTACGCCTAGGGCAGATTGCCGGTCCGACAACCGAAAATGGGATGTGGAACAGGCAGGAATGGCTACCGCTTATTGTTGCCACATCGAAGGCGATGGGCAAGATTCCTCGTACCTTAGGATCAATGCCAGTAGAGTGGACCCCAGTGGTAAGATGCGACACAACCTCTCTACCTTGATCTTCTCAGCTAATGAATGGATAGGACACACTTGCTGCTATCATCACGGAGCTTATTCACACGCGTAGCACAAGCCAGATGGATTCCACCTGTTCTGTATTCCACTTAGTCAACCCATCGGCGACTTCCTGGGAAAGCCTCCTGCCCGCGATTCAGGAGCGCTACAATGTCCAGCCAATTGAGATGTATGAATGGGTCAATGAGTTGGAGAGTATCACGAACCCATCACCAGCAGAGGTTGCGGCGAAGCCCGCGTTGAAGCTACTTGGCTTTTACCAAGGGCTGGTGGAAGGGGAGGGAGCATTGTCGGCTCCCATTGAAGTAGAAAAGACAAAGGAGTCGAGCATTACTATGAAGTCGATGAGACCGATCTCGACTGAACTGATGGCAAATTGGGTGAAGCAGTGGAACTTCTAGTCCGAACAATCCAACCACTGTTCGTCCTAAAAATCAATGCTCCCTCTCAAGCAAATACTACAGGGAACAGCTAGCGACTCTATTAATTGAATGCATAAACCTTGCACCACAAATGTATAGATCCCTAAACCCACATTGAAGACTCTTTGGATAAACACACACGCCTCTTTCCTCTCTAGACCATTGCAGAAACACCCCTGCTCAAGCCCTTAACCCTTTCCACCCCGTAAGCTCCACAAAACAAGCGTCTATCAGCAAGGGATGGAAACTAACGAATGATCTATACGACACCCCAACGCGCGGCCATCAAATCCCAACGAAGTAAGGAAAATAGAAAACATGCCGTTCCCAGTATTGACCGATTATCAGTTGACTGATCTAGCTAAATCGAACTGTTCTGGTGTAGATATGAACCCGGGTCATTCCTGGAAGTGGGATTGAACTCCTCTGGGTGGAGCGATAGTGTCGTTACGGATCGCTTTGGGATTGGAGTTGCGCAGGCTGAATAGCGGAAATGACACTATTCAGTTTTTCTTGATATTGTGTTCTTGATATTGTGTTCTAGAGATGGCATTGGTTATTTGGATGTCTTCTCCAGTGTATAAGTAGGGACAGCCGATCTGGTTCCGCCTGAGGCAGCTCCATCTGCGTCAGTTTAAAATTTGTTGATTAAGAAGCGATTTGCTGTCGCAGAGAAAAAATCATCAACTTTGTCAGGCCAGAGATCGTAAAGCTAAGTTGCCCGTGTATCGGGGGTTATAATTCTATAACGGTAGGAAGTTTGGTTCTTCATGATTTTTTATTTCATATTATCTATAGTACATGACCATTTCTGCAGGCTGGAGATGAAAATAAACACAAGATACCCGCTCATGAGCTTTTCATACCGTCCGTCAAAATCATTATTCAGTTAAGCGCGCTGGTCAGACTGCAAAGGCTGGTACCAGTGCTGGTCGTCGACACCCTTCTGCTCCCGGCCAGCCGGTGTGGCAGTAGGTCCGGATTCTGTCTGCTTCTGCTGGAAGCCCTTGGTGGCGAGACGGCCAGGGTCGTTCTCGCCACCAATATCGGTGAAGCTCGCATTGTTGCTGTCATCAAAGCCACCCTCCTGCAAGTTCTTGCCATGGGGCTTCTTGCTGCTCAAGTCACCGACCACGTCCTGCGCATATGATGGTGCGGTGCCAGTCTTGGACCGGGTCTGGTAGCCACTGCCGCTAGCGTTGGCGGCGCCACGCTGCTGGTTCTGAGAGGTATTGGACTGTTTCTGGGCTCCTTGCTGCTGCTGCTTGGAACCGGTGGGGCCACCAACGTAGCCGGAGGTAGAAAGATGGGGGCCAGGGAAGTCACCTTGGCCACCGAGAGCTTCAGGGTATTTCTCCTGTCTGTCGAGGTTCTCACGAGCAGCACCAACTGGGGCGGATGGCAACTCGGAGGCAGCTGATGTGTCCTTGGTGTTCAAGGTAGACTGCTGGCCAGTCACACCGAGAGGCTGGGCACCACGGTTCTGAGAATAGACGCCGCCCTTGGTGGCAGATTCGGCAGCAAGAGAATCTCCGGCCACTGGTCCAGAGGATTCTTGGATGGGGTTGCGAGAAGCCTCAGGATCAGTGGTGACCTGGGAGCCGTTAGCCAGAGTTTTCTACAAATATTTCGGGCTTGCAAACATACCTTAGTGCTGCGGGGTCCTTGACCGATGGGCTGTCCTTGAAGATCCATGATGATAGATAGATGTATGAAAATGCGTAAGGTTTCGGCGCTGCAGATGGGATTGAAGTAGTTTGAAGCGTTGAATATCGTAGTACCGTAGATTTCTGTTTCAAATGATCTGATGAAGGCAACCTGAGCAGTGCGATAGCAATGCTATATAAGATTGGCATCTCATGCCATCAACTATGATATTCAGATCATCAACCTGGATGATGTCATTCTGACGGTAAAAGTCCACCATGTCCAGATACCGTCGAAGCCCCAGCGGACAACCAACAGGTACGTCAACGAGCACAGATCCCGAATTTTGAGACTCTTTCAGTGGCGATCTAGCTCGATGACAAGAAAGAAAGAACCCACTCTATCCGGGATCCTAGTTGTCCAGAAAGCTCATCGGAAAGAACCGTCTCCATCCAGATGGCCCTCCTACCGCCTATGGTATCGTGTAGCCAGACAGGGTCGGCTCTCCACGTACCCTACTACCGGGTTCGGTGTGATTTCCGTGGTCTTCTCGATTGCGTTAACGGATGCTGGATGAATGTCATCCCTGTGGAAATGCTACCGGACTATGGCGTAGTAACATAATGCGGTGACGTCATTGTCACCACCACCAACCCATGTTGCATGGACAACATCGAAGGAGTATGATGCCATCATATCCCGAGACGACGGTAGAGTTACTGCCTTTGTTTCACATCCTTAGCGAAAAGGAATCGACGATCTAGCATGTCGGCTTCGAAGTCATGAATGCTGGGTGGTTGAATTAGAATTTCCTTCTAGTATAGTGTTAAACTTTTCGATTAACCCGATTCGCAAAGTGTCATCCCGTCCAGGGCCCAAACGGTCACGTGATATACATTACCTTGCGAAGTAAATATGTAACTCTGATGCGTCGACTATAAGTGTAAAAGAGCCTAAACAAAGAGATGCCCGAGTCATACTGTGGTATAGCAATATCTAAAGTATCTGTACGGATTAAGCCAGATTAGATTTAACATGTATGAGCAATCTTGGTATTACACAACTACGATGCTTTTTATTTACAAAAGAGAAAAGAAAAAAAAAAAAGAAAAAGAAGTAGACTCGTCTCACATATACTTTTCATGTATTTGTATGCATTAATAGCTACTAAAATACAAAATCATCGCGCTCATGATGTACAACGCCCATATACCACGACTGGTATCCATGATCCATCTACCTCCCAAAATCATAAATTACCGTGCCAGAGCATCCTTGGGAAGATCACTCAGGTTGTCCTTCCCCTGGCGCCCAACATTGCCCAGTGGCTGGGTTTGCTTGTGCAATTCGTCTCCATCTTGACGGACACTGCTGCCAGCGGTTGCGGGCTCTCTCAGAGCGCTGTTGCCCTCGCCAGAAACAGGTGCCTGGTGACGGCCAGAGCCAACGTTGACTGTCCTCTGGTCTAATGAGTTCCAGTCGCTAGCGACTGGTGGCTGATCAGGTAGAGGCAGGTTGGACTTAGTCTGCTCAATCTGCTGCTTCTTGTCGGTGTTCTCGCTGAGGAGGGACTATGGAGTTATTAGTGAGGGTTCGCAACTTGATCATCTCTTGAAATCCAATCTTACCTTCATAGCCGAGACATCTGAGTTCTTAGGGATGTTTCCTTGGTGGGCTTGGGAGATCTTGGATTCAGGCTTGCGGATATCCTGAGTGGTTGTATGGAATGTTTGGTCAGACATTTTCTGTGAAGTACTAGTAGTGTAAGAAGTAGTTTTGGTTGATCTGTGGTCGAAATTGGTCGATTGCAGAGGTAATTAATCGAAAGATTATTTTGATAATGATGAAAAGAAAATTCATCTACAGAGGAGTTTCGGGTACTTATATGTTTGTTGTTCGGTGCATGATGTTGAAGACTGGTGACGTTGTTGCACCTATGACGACATTAGCCGATGTCCAGGCTTTGGATGAAGCGAAACCCACCCTGGGAACAGCACGGCGGGGAAACCCTGAATCCTTGGGACTCGAATACATAATTCGAATAATCAATGATCCAATCAGATGCCTTGCAGTGAGATCAAATCGGAATTTGAATTTAATGGGCTCCCTGGTGGCTTCAAAATTTGTAACTTTAGCGATTGTCACCGGATGCGCCCTGGCTTCATACGCTTTAGCCTCCAAGTTAGTATTTGAGAATATTCCGTAAATCTTTCAATTCTATTTTTAATTTTATGGTGGTCAGCCTAGCCCTAGAATGGCAAGTCATCGTATGTCGTTCTCCAATTCAAAGAGTGCTGCGATGGGTCTCTTCCATCACTCATTCAGTACGTATGGATTTACGATGGCGCATTCCTTCATGGATATACATGACCACAATTCAGGTAATATGGTGAAACAGGGGTAAATTATGTAGCTTTTTTGTCACAGCTTCACACATATGAGATCATTAGGCATAAAGTACACTTCTAAGTTGTGACCTCTGGAGTACCAAAGAAGACAACGTAGTATATCGAGGCTTACGCGATTCCTTCTAAATACGGAGTAACGGTTCAGTCCGAACTGCTCACGGATAGTATGCCACAGATTACGTTGAAAATAGACTCGGTACTCGCTACTACAGGACACAAAAGCCATACATTGAGATTCACATGTTGAGAAACTTGACACAGCCTAAAAGGGCTCATAATCACAAGTTTTCGCAGGCCATACTAGACATTCAAGTCTACAAGACTTAATGGCAGCATGAGCTAGTACGTAGATTGGATATCGGCCCTGAATATACCTAGAGAATCTAGAATATGATGGTTGTGGATCCACTAGTTGGGCAGCCGCTTGGGGATGCGGACTTGTGGCAGCAATGTCTCTTGATGCCTATCCAGCAGCATGCACCATCACCACAACTCGACGTGCCACAATCCCAGTGAGTAGCATTGTCACAACTTCCCGCACAGAAAGGCGCAGTTCCACTCCAGAAGCAGTTTCCTTGTGCTGGTATGGGGTCTGTTCCAGTTGGGCTCCCCATTTGGTTGCCTGGTTCGGTATTGTCTAGCTACAGTGAGCACCTTATCTATGGAGATGCGCAGGATATCCTTTACCAATTGCCGCAGTAGCAGCCAGGGCGCTAAAGAAAAGCGATATTAGGATAGAATGCATGGCCAAGTTGGACAGCCTTGCCTCTATGTCAGCGGATTATAGCGATTTCTGCGGGTAAATACAAAGCTCACAGATTAGTATGTACTCAAAAATAAACAGGGTAGGCCTTGGGGAGATCCGGTTATAGTTGGATGATGGTAATATCAAAGTGTAAATTGAAGCTTTCCGAGGCTCATTGAGGAGCGACAGATGAACAGACTTATATATGGTATTCATTTCTTATTTCATTTCTTCGGCTGTTGGAGTGTTACATGTGCACTCTTCCGAGCTTCCATATTTCTGAAACTCCTGTGACGCCTGATCATCCAAATGGAGTTCGTAATGACTTCAACCCATTCAAGGCTGAATGGCTGAATACCAAGTGCTCGTATCACATTATTTACATGATCTTGGTTCTATATTGCTGCATGGAGAATCCTTGAAGCAATGACATATGAATTTGGGGTTCGTGAGATACTATCTTTTGAGGCATAAAGAAGAACTGTAACAGGCTGGCAGAAGAGTAAGAGGGGCCCCTGTAGTATGCGAGAGCAACTGCAGATCTAGTAGTGCACAAAGTGCAAGAAAATGTCATGTAGAACCAGGATGCTACTCACAAACTCTCTGTGAAACCATATTCTATATCCATCACCATCATCCGTGGAGACCTATGACCACAGGATAAAAGTGCCGGAGTGATATTGGATATCGTTGTGCGCATAGTCTGAAGGGTCTTTCTTGTCGGTCTATGATAATTAAACCAAAGGGTGGTTACACAATCGTTTCAGAGAACAATTGATAAACAACAGTGACTGATAAGTATAGGGTATAGGCTCGTTAATATAGAACCACTACAAAAATAAATAAATACCTGAATATATATCTGTATTGTATAGTAAAGATGCACCCTTGTGTCAGTCTTTAGACACGGCATATTTTCTTAACAAAATTGCATGTATTACCACATGCTGTGTTCCATTGCTTCAGTAATACATGCAGTATTTCTAGGTAGTACTACTAGTAGTACTCGTTGACCAAGCACTAGTACGTAGTCACATGTAAGTGGTCGATATTGACGACGGACGATATGAAATCCACACTAACAGTCTCAACGCGCTATACCCAGAACAATGACGCTAGTCTGCCTTGGGACATGAAGGGCTGATTCCATGAAGGTAGACCGCCTTCCGTTATAAGATACCAAAACTGACCATCAGTTCCCCGCTACCAAGCGAAATGATTTTTTTGGTTGCATGTTGTTAGACAGGAATAGACTCTTGTTCTGCCGTTGTGTTTCTCTATTGTACTTTTGGTTACTCAGATATCTGCTAGTATGCCCAGGGATCCATTGATTGGGTTGGTTGGAAAGGTCTGCTACTCTTCGTTATCTCGGAAGATACGCCGCTGACCTGAACTGAGGGGCATGTAGCCATCCAGCGGAAAATCGACAACGCTGAATAGTTTGACAGACGCTACTTCGAAAGTTGGTAAGGTTATCTTTGTTAGCTATGTAGCAAAAGTATATGTGCATTGACCGGAACATTTTCTATATGTAGGGAACTTCCCGTAAGTTAAACCACAATGCGCTCCGTCATATCGCTCCATTACGCCAACCCCAATAGTCCAAGTCTTGCTGTCCGAAGACGTCTAATCAGTGAGCTTTAGTTTCACTACAATCGATCCTCAGCGTGCCATTGGCTACCTCCAAATAGAATGTGCATGCCAGCGATACGGTGTATCGGATAAGTGCAAACCGAATTATGGGGGCTGTGTAGAAGGAAGACGCTCTGTTCCCATCGAGCTCTTGGACGTTGCAGGTCTCGTTCCAGGCGCGCATCAAGGTCGAGGGCTGGGCAACAAATTTCTGGATGATTTGCGTCATGCAGATGCTTTGATCCACGTGGTTGATGTTAGTGGAACCACAGACGCAGAAGGTCAGGATTTCTCGCGGTTTCGCAAACGCTGTTGAAACATATTGGCTAACAGGTCTGTGTGTATTTCAGGGAAAGCAACTCGAGGTTATGATCCTTCACAAGATATCGAATGGTTACATTCTGAGATCGTGCGTTGGGTGTTAGGAAACTTAATGCAAAAATGGTAAATCGACACGCACCTGAACCTAAGCTGTCAGTGCTGATGATTCTTGTAGGGGATCCATCAAGAGGAGACACATGGCCATAAGTCTGTCTATAGTAATCCCCTAATGTTTCCTGCATACTGACGCGTACTATAGAGGCGACGGCCGTGGACACCTTACAGGGGCAGTTCTCCGGTTATGGAAGTACGTCAACGATTGTTGCACGCTGCTTGGATCGGATAGGCTTGAAGGAGCCGCTTGAGAACTGGTCCGATGAGACGGTTGAGAAGGTTGTCAAAGCTTTTATCGACGAAAAATTCCCCACGGTCTATGCTTTAAACAAAATCGACCATCCTGACGCAGACAAGGTTTGTCAGCATTCCCGTTTGGCTTTGGATCGATGCTGACAAGAGTGGCTTTAGAATATCAGCAAAATCGCCAAGATGCAGGACCCTCAGTCCATTGTTCTCTGCTCGGCAATATCAGAAGTGTTCCTTCGGAGGTTAGCGAAACAAAGTTACATCAAATACATCGAAGGAAGCGAATTCCTAGATACGCGAGAAGACCTCATAGAGATGGGCGAACCGGACGGCGGCGGCTTAAAGGAGATGGATGAGAAATTGAAGACGTAGGTCACCCTAGCATTTGCGCAGTATCTGTCTGGCTAACATGAACACCACATTAGCCGTGTCGAAAATTTGAAAGACATGGTACTCTATCGTTTTGGTTCAACTGGAGTCGTGCAATGCCTTTCGCGTGCCGCAGAGCTCCTAGGTTTGGTGCCAGTCTTCCCAGTAAGGAACGTACACACTTTCGCGTCAGGAGCCGGAAGTGATGCAGCGTTCCGCGATTGTGTTCTGGTTAAGAAGTAAGTGATGCTAATTGCAAATCCCACACCTCTTTAATCCATCTGACACCGAGTAGGGGCACTACGGTTGGCGATGTTGCTAACAAGGTCATGGGCGATATACCGATCTCCTACATCGAGGGCGTTGGTGGTATCCGCGTCTCGGAAGATGAAATTGTGCAAGTAGGAAAGCATGATGTAGGTGCTAGCCTTTCTACAACTATATCAATATCGGTCGCTAACCCGCATCCTTCTTCTTCAGGTGCTATCCTTCAAGCCTGGCCGATAAATTTCATTATTCAATTTATATACAGTTGATATGACTGGGAACGAATAATATAACGCTTATTGGCGGTTATCCAAAGTACATAGCCGAAAATGAATGATGCAGAAAAGCAACCCAACTTCAGATCAATGACCCTTCTGTTAAAGATATCAATAGTCAGTCACCTGGTCCTGATGGAAGGTATCGACTTTTTTTCCCAGGAATGTCCTAGCTTATTTGTTACTGGTCTGAAGGTTTGAAAACATACCTGAGCTCTTTCGTCATTCATTCCAATAATCGGTTCAGGTGCCTTAGGATGCTCCTCCTTAGCCTTCTTCCAATGCTTCAGTCCTCCTCTCTCCGTCGCCGCCTGAGGCTTATCACGTTGGGCTACTCCCTCAAATTCTTCCCTGTCCTTCATACCAGAAGAAGCCCCTTCAACAGTTGGATCTGTGTTATCATTCTTCTTGCTTCGGTCCACAGCGTGGTCGTCTGTTGATGTTCCTTTCCAATCTTGAGTTATGCCGCTGTTGAGGCGAACCCGCACGCTTCCGGGCGTGTGGAACGCTGCTGGCTGCCACACGGAATAAAGCGGAAGTAAGCAGAGACGTGGCGGCCGTGGCGTGAGCAAATGATGCAGCTTTGAAGTTGGAGTAGGGAGTCGTGAACTGCTCGGCATCTTGGGCTTGTGATTTATGGCAGGGATTCAGATTATCGAGAAAAAAGTATGTTGTACAGAAATAGCCTTTTTATATACAACATATATATCTGCGAAGATTATATATTTGAACAAATGCAGAGTCTACATTTTGTAAAGCTTGGTTTTCGAGGGCATCATCTCAACCCCGGTCTTATGACGTCTACATGCTGCAATCCTACTATTGACCACCTGCTTCAGGAAACCAGGGCTTAGGGCTCCGAATTGATACCGCTCTCCTTATCGATAAGGAAGCAGCAACTTACGGTGGGGACCTCAAGTGGACTCTCACACCTTTCCAAACGTATGAATACACGTTTATCGGAGGTAAATTACGAGGCGGAGGAAATATGAAGCGTGAATATCTTCCAACTGAGACACTTTCTGCTTGGACGAGGCTCAATGGCATCTCCGTCGATGGGGTCACTTTCCGCAAGTTGCAAACCGAAGACGGCATAGACAAGGGATGCGCGATAGTAGCGACAGGAGAGAAGTGCAATGAGAGCTCGGAGACCGGAGGAGTAGATGTGGAGACTCTTCTTCAAGTTCCCTATGACTTGATTCTGTCGCTCAGGTTGGTTGAAACTCATGCCAAGTCTGATCGGTATCTGCGCGAGGTACTAGACGCCGTCGGCGATTTTGGAAGAGTATGTCCATGCTATCTTTCAGCTAGGTGTTGGGAATCTACTGGGAGCTTAATGAGAGATTTGTGTTGAGAGTATAGGCTGATATGAACAGACAGCTAGGGGCGCGATTTTGATCTTCTTAATCCTCCAGATTACATACTCTAGTCCGGATTTCGCGGATGAGCACCATCGTATCGGAGTGTCCAACCCCTGGACCGAATATATACAGTATTTGCCGTCTTCAATAACGCTACCTACATTCTATACGGTTGAAGAGCGGGAGCTTCTGCGGGGAACATCTCTAAAACTGGCGGTGGATGCAAAGATCGCCTCACTCGAGAATGAATTCGAACTCTTACGCCAATCAACCGAAAACATAACTTGGTGTCGCAAGCATTGGTGGGATGAAGATACAGGGAAACTCATGCTGGATGACTGGAAATATGTCGATGCTATGTACCGATCACGTATGGTGGATTTGCCAAGCTCTGGCCATGCAATGGTTCCATGCATTGACATGGCTAACCATGCATCTGAGGATATTGTGAAAGCTTTATACGAAGAGGACACGGAAGGCAATGCGGTGCTTCAGCTACGATCGGGGCGGAAACTTAAATCCGATGAGGAAGTTACTATATCGTGAGTTTGGATGTTTAATCTCGTAGCAGAAGCACGACTCATGGTGATGGTGATTCACAGGTACGGGGGCGACAAACCAGCATCGGAGATGATATTCTCGTATGGATTCCTCGAAAAAGAGAGAGAAGGCGCAAAGCAGATATTTCTCAATCTGGATATCCCTGAAGACGACCCATTGATTATGGCCAAGAAACGAGTTTGCAAGGCACCGCCAGGACTTCGGTTATTCGATGCTCCTACGGCGCAAAGGGGTAACACTGATTGGGATAGTCCGTTTGTCTGGTGGCTTTGCGTGAACCAAGAAGACGGGCTTGAATTTGAAGTACTACAGACCAATGATGGGGGTAGAGAACTCAAGGTCAGTTGGAAAGGCGAAGAGATCAAAGATCCCAATGACATTAAAGCCTTCTTGGTCAAGGACCCTCTATGGGATATCTTCCAGCTTCGAGCTGTGGTGACTGTACTCGATCGGCTAGAATCTCATTTTCTCATTCTTCGAGAAACTCAGATCATGGTTGAGGAGATCAATCACAACGAGGATATGCTTGCACTCTTCAGGCCTGAGGTGTATAATACAATTAACAGTCTGCGTGAGTTGGAGGGGAAGCTGTTGGAGAAAGGGATCGAGGATTTGGTTCAGCAGGTAAGTGATGTAATCTGACTGGCTCTGTGGACCACAATTGGGCGGACATTGACCATCATCCGTCTATAGAGACAGGATCTTATGGCGAGTGAGGCGGTCGCCGCATATCTCACCCAGCAGCAGGCTGATGATGTCGAAGAGGATTTCTCGTGATCATCAATTTATGTATATGGCAATAAGACACGGGGTCATTTTCACCCAATCCGCCACTGTGCTTGAGTCATTGGTCTTGCTACGTTGCTATACGATCACTGTTAGCTGTTAGCATCATTTACAGTAATCCATACCGAAACCGGTGCCTGTTTGAGTTTCACTATATCCACTGCGGAAGGTCGATCATTCAATTAAAATGAACGTGGATTGTGGGGAAACCCCAGTTGGGGTAAGGCAGCAGAAAGAGTTGGTGGAGTTCCAAGTTCACGATGGCTACCCTAAGGTTCGAGATCGTGCCAGCAGCCAGAGGCGAATTCTTTCGAGCTGCGTTAATTAACTTCTATGACGTGTTGCGGGCCAATCGGACCAGGATTCCAATCATGTTCTTAGCCCCAGGGGGATATTCTTTCTTAGTCTCTTGATTGGGGTCGTGTTCCAGTCACCATGTGGTGTATGTAGCCATGTGCCAGTTTCATGGTTAACTTGAATCAAGACTGCGTCAACCAGATGTACAGCATGTCTTTGGTGACCCGTTCTTTGAGTTGACTGGAGAGGGACCCTGAATTGTAAGCCCTGGCCATGAAAAACATAGTCTTCCTTATTTTGAGTCTAATAATGCTTTAGCGTCAAATAGTACATGCAGGGATCTAGACCCAGTGTGGAAAAGAACGAAACCCATCCATTGTATCAGTCATGTATGGTGACTCTAATCTTTCGTCTAATGCGGCAGCGATAATAATAGACGGTGCACCAGGCATTTGTTGAGAAACAATCCCTCAATTCATGACTATAATTGGCCACTCGGTAATCTGGCGGCTCCGTCATCCCCAGACCCGTAAGTGTTTGGTCCTTCAAATTAAATTGAAAAGATCTAAAGGCCGAAAAAGACAAAAAAAAACAAAAAGAGCAATCCTTTTGGAAGTCTTAGGGTCCACTTCTGCAGTTTTCTCGGGAATCTCTCGGAGTCTACTCCAAAAGGATCGATTCTCCAAAAAGACCTCTTTACTGTCTGAAAATTGTGAACAATACCTACAACCTCATTCGGTGTACCGAGCAACCGTGACGTTTTATTTTAAGTACCTCTGGAACAACTCATTCTCCACATGAGGCATTCATCGCCCCCAGGGAAGTACTAACTGTACTCTAGTCTGTACCCTTCCTGCTTACAGGGAAGCTAACAAGGATGCAAGGACGGAACAGAAACACCACATAAGACCCCGAACCAAGGCTATTCTTAAAATTTCAATCAATCACAATGGCAGGGACCACGCCGGTGTAAAGTTTCCTGAGAATACCCCCGCGTTTTTCTCCATTTATGAACGAATGGGGAAATGGCATGACACGATGTAGATGACGAGGATCAAGGCCCTTAGAAAATCTAACTGGGTGGCTTAATTTAAGAGTTAAACTAAACTGAGCCCTAGTGAGCTCGCATGGCTTTTTGAATTTAAAAGACTCCCGGTATATTTTCGGCGGGTGGCTGAGAAGTTGAACTCTGGTTCATCGTACTCGGAGTCTCGGACTCGTCAGTTAAGATGCAAGGAAGACCGCGGATGCTTCGACCCGAATAAAAACCGGCGGTTCCAAACGAACTCCCATGGTTGTCCACAACCGTGGTGAAGGATGCGGAGAAGCCTAGGCGATCGGGAAGAAAGTGAGCGGCTTGTTAGCCGGTATTTTATTCTTCTTTTTTTCTTTTTTTGTTTGGTTCTCTGATTAGGGTTTCAGGGTAAGAACTTCACTCTTCAGGACCTTTGTTCTACGGCTCTTGTCTTGATATCGGGTTCTCAGTGGTTGAGGGGGCAAGCAGACCTGGGATTGCGGGGGGAGTCAACGTCAATGATTTGAATCAAGGCTGGTTGATCGGACTGGGGATCTTCGTTGCTGACTTGTTTCGAAGGGGGAGGTTTGGGAGAAGCTTCTCTCCGGTTCGGAGTCATGAGGATCGGCGATAACGGGGAGATCGTTACTGCACTATGTAGCCCACTTGGGCACTCACTATTCTAAAGGTAGACAGGAGTACTCGGTGAGAGCAAGGTACTCCTGTCAAACGCTCGATATGTGGAAGTAATTGCTAGAGTTGGGTGAATGTTTTATTTAGTCTCGAAGGATAAGAAGTGACATTTCATCTGACGACCTAACATGAGTGGAGGATGGAGTGAAGGATTCCTGAGTCTAAACCTCAGGAATACGTTGCCTTTGGGCATTCCCCCTGTTGGTTGCTGCATTGAAATTTTCCCTGCTAATCTCCTCGTGCGAACAAAAGCCAATCACTGACTGTTCAACGATTCTCGCCGGCGATATACTACTGTACCTAGTACTTCGCCAGTGCTAGGCACGGAATAATCCCTGGGATTAATATCCTTTGAGTTTCATGCTTTCATATAAGTTAATTTTCTCAATAGTACACACACGAAGAACAGTTAAACAAAAAAAATGTCGAGGGTTCGGGCTGGAAGTCAAATAATTTAGTATGAATTTCATTGAACTTTAACTCTTTAAACACGAAGTTAGAGTGAGCGTAATGGTATTACGATCCTCTCTCGAAAAACCCACCGCGAATCTATGGCTGTCGAGTGTCGGGTGAGCAATTGAAAATCGCAAGCTAGAAGCAATGATTGGCGGAAAGACCAAACGGAGCCCCACCAGGCTACCCCACAGCCACACCCCTTTGAGCCTGCATCCGTCACCCGCACCTGCGTTGGTAATCCTGCCAATACACTTGCCGTACGGAGAACCGCGGACATCGAAAAGATCCTTGTGGTTGGCCCTTTCCCAACACGCTTATGCTCTTCCTCCTCAGTCTTGCCTTCCCTCCCCCCCATCCTTATTATCATCATCCTCTCCTCGGCTACGAACCGCCACCTTTCTTACATTTAACAATACTACTAGTACCTCCTTATCAAAAGACTCCGCTCACCATATCTTGACCCTTTGTTCGTCTACGGAGTACGAGAACGTTACTTACGCTACGATCGGCTATCCTTTCCTACCAAATCAGTCGGCTACATACTTTCACTACTACTACTACTACTACATAATATCACTTGAGTGTCTCATCACAACTCACCCAAGTGTTATATCGAATTACTACCGCACGGACCGCACCCCGAGAGCCAACGAAATAGTCCTTTCGGCGGCAGATGCTAAGAGCATCCAGCCAAGATGCCTGGGATTCTTCCGATGAAAGTGATCAAGGTCGGCAACGGCGCCCAAAGTCGTATCGCCCAGGCCTGTGATCGATGCAGAAGCAAGAAGATTCGCTGTGACGGTATCCGTCCATGCTGTACGCAATGCGCCAATGTCGGTTTCGAATGCAAAACGAGCGATAAGCTCAGTCGCCGCGCTTTCCCTCGTGGGTACACCGAGTCGTTAGAAGAGCGAGTGCGAGCGTTGGAGGCGGAGGTGAGGGATCTGAAGAACTTGTTAGATGAGAAGGATGAGAAGATCGACGTACTATCTCGGATACACTCCTTTTCTCCCTCTTCACAGCAAAGGGCGGCTGCCTCTGTACAGTCGTCGTCTGAGTCGGTTAAGTCGAGCGCGCCCGACACAAATGAAGGTGTCATTCAGGTCCAGGAACCGATATTGTTAGGTGAATCATCTAAAGTCGAATCCGGAATTGCAAGTATTCGTGGTTATAGTGGTAGGTTCATCCTTCGAAAGTGGTAGGACTAGAAAGGACGCTGGGCAGCTAATTCAAGTTAGGCGTCTTCACAACTAGGCTCATGGATCAGGGCAGATTGCCACCGAATGTCTCAACTAAGGCTTTGACAACTTCACCTGCCCCAATTTCTGCCTCGCGTACGGACCAGGTCATCAAGACCGCACCGCGACTTGTGTCTGATCAACTGATTAATATCTTCTTCCAAGAGTGGGCTCCTCTTTACCCTGTTGTTCACAGGCCCACCATCCTCAAAGCCTACGAGCAGTATCTGTCAAATACAGAAACACTGCAAGGCAGTAAGCATGATATGGCGCAGTTGAACTTGATATTCGGCATTGCTGCTCTCGCGTCTACTGTAAGTCAAGTTTGGTTACAGCGATATTCTATGATCCCTCAAAACTAATAGCAATCGACAGACGAGAACCAATCAGGACCCAACATTCTTCGAGGACAATTGGTCCCCGGTCCTTGAGTCACTCTCAGCCGATGTGTCTGTCTCAACCTTGCAGTGCTATGTTCTGGCTCAGATGTACTGCATGACAAAGGGCGATTATACTGGCCTTCTACGCTATCGTGGCTCTGCTGTCAGTCTTTGCCATCAGTTGAGACTTCATCAGAGTCAGAAACGCTTTTCTTCCAACGCTCTGATTTCTGAGACGCGGAAAAAGGTGTTTTGGTGTCAATATGTGGTCGATCGGTAAGTACCTTGCATAGTCTGGACGTTTTTTTTTTTTTTTTCCTCTAACATGGTTACAGCTTCACTGCCGCCCTAACTGGATTGCCTGTCCTCCTGCGTGAGGAAGACATCCGTACAGAATATCCGGAGGATATTGATGATGAGAATGTTACCGAAACAGGTTTCTTGCCTACCCTACCTGGCGAGTCCACTCGCATCTCTAGCGCGATCGCGTTGTTTGCGGCATGCAGAGTCTTGAACAAGGCTTTGGAAGATCTATATCCCTCTGATGGAGGATACGAAATCCCTATCTCGAAGTTGCGTTCCGTTGCAGGACAGCTAGACGGATGGGTGAAGAACTTGCCTCCTCACCTCCGTCTAGAGTTCTCGCAGGATAAGCCAGGTACGAATGTTACAAGTAGCCGGTCGCCACTTTTGGTAAGTTTTGATGCATAATTGTACTCAAACTACCTGACACTTGCTGACAATCTCGTCTAGTCTCTCGTTTACTACTTCATCCGCTCATTAATCCATCGCCCGGCTGTCTGCTTTGGCGAGGAACAGATCCGTTCGCCATCTGCACTCGCCGTCTCTGATTGCAGCAAGCGCATCATTCAAATCCTTCAACTTCTCGATGAGAGGCGACTTTGCCTTTCGGTCAGCATCAACCGAAGAGAGCTGGTTCTCTCTTCCGGTCTCGGGCTTCTGTGGCAGAGTATTGGCCTCAAACGAGACAGCAAACTTATCAAAGAAAGCCAGAAGCTGCTTACTGCAATCATTGATCAGTTGGAATCGGAGTCCCCAGTTGCTGCCGCAGAATTCAGTACGCTAGCTAGCGCGCTAGTC